TGTTTACTATAAGCGGCAACTAAATTTCGTCAATTTTTTATACCTATGCTGTATCACTTTTTTTATAACATCCTGCCTATGGAAGTAAAATAACTTGGCATTTTCTGTGACTCCTCTGCAGGGCAAAATGAAAACTTTAAAGTTATTCAGTTGTTGCATTACTTTGTTACCAAGAAAAATCGTTTTACTACTGTGAAAGTAATATTCCCAATCAGGGGACATTCATACCTCGAGTGTGATAGAGATATGAGTCTCGTGAACCAAAGAGCATACACTGAGGTACCGGATGACTGGAGAGATGAATTGAATAATTGCCGTGTGAAACCTACACCATTTGAAATCATTGATTGTGGCAAAAATTTTGATTTTCAAGATTGGAGTACGTTTTTATCGCCGTTTTATCCAACGAAGTGCCCATTTCCAACCCGACCAGTCAGGATGCTCAAGTTTTGTAAACAGAATCCTCGCGTAGTTTTCCACAAATCGACATACATAGGCCTATATGCTAGTTCTAAATTTAATAAGGTAATTCGGAAGAATCTAAAAAAGTCGCAAAAAGATCATCACTTGACTAGAAACTCGGCGCTTTACGCGGGAGCGGGAGCCGGAGCGGTGAGAGGAACGGATCGGATCGAAAACGGCCTGTAAAGTCGAAAAAACCGGTAGATTTTCGTTCTGTCCGACGTTCAACATAGGTTTCCTCCGAAGATAAAGGAGCTGCGAACCTGACGATTTTTGCGTGAGAAAGCCCCGGCTTCGGGCTCAAAGATAGCGGCTTTCTTTTTTTTTCTTTATCCCTTTTCGTTCGAAAATTTCGATTTTTTCGATTTCCTCGACTACGCGCTACTTACCGATTTTTCCGATTTTTTTTCCGGGTTCGCGAAACGTTCGGAAGGAAAACGATTATCCAGAAGGCAGCAGTGATGAATATGTCGATGACCCGCCAATAGACGCTTAAAACAGGGGAAAATTGGCACCAGTTCAGAGTTGAACATCATCTTTTGTTTGTTACGTTACTAATTTTGAGTAAAAGTTCATTTTGTAAAATCTATTTTACCAATAAATAAACTGTTTAGCAAAGATATTCTTTACGACTTATTTTTTCATCAATTTTACTTTCCAACAAGTAAGTAAACCATAATTACCGATTTTCTCAAAATCAGTCCGGATGGACTATTGTCGTTATTCCCCGGTACCCTTCATACTTGTCAGCACTTTTGTTGCCCTTAACCAGATTTAAAAGTTCTGCTTTGACCATATCGTTGTCAAAAGGAACATTATGTCTTCGTAGCCATTCCTGTATTTCCCCTTTTCTGTTTCCACTGTTTGGTGCTTTATCAATACGCCTACTGTGATATGAAGCTTTGTCCATAACAATGACAGCGTTCTCTTCTAGACGGCTTACAATATTTTCAAACCATCCTTCAAATAAATTGGCATTCATATCGACGTGGTAGTCTCCTGCTTGTTTTGATTCAAATACCAATAGTCTGTCTTCGAAGCCATTATCAGATCCGATGTGTAAGATAACTGGCCGTTTTCTTTTCCCTGAAGGATTTTTTAATCCCGTGGAGAGACCTTCTAAGAAGGCTTGCCGAGGATGCTCAACTGATGAATCCACCCATACTTTGCTAACAGTGTGCCCTGCATTGAGCCAAGACTCGTCTAGGTAGTATATCTTCCTGCCTTCTTCTCTATAATTCCAGATTTCGCGTAAGAATCTACGTCTCCAACATATTATCTCGTCCTTTTCTTTCAAGATGCTATTTCGCATCCTTCCTACAAAACTAAAAATTACATTAAAACTTTAAATTCGTTAAATCAATGAACCATATTATACGAATAACGAATTTCAGGCGATTCATCTTAACAAAATTGCAAATTTAGTCTAGTCATAAAGTATAGATAAAGAATGATAAAAAACAATAAACTCTAAACTATTTTTGTGTGTGAAAATTTTACGGAATTTTTTAGCTTTGTATTTTACTTTCAAGGAGAAATAAAAAACAATATATAAGTTTTTTGTACAACACTTACCGAAAATTAAGTTCCTTTATTAATGTAGCCAACGTCGATCTTTTGAAGTCTAGCAAGTCATCGTCGTCGTCGTCGTTTATTGATAACAAAATTTTGTCCAATGTGGGTGGTTCGTTTCGGAAGAAATAAATGGATTTTTCTTCGGATTAATGCCTTAGTTTCTAGTGAAACGTTGTCCAAAACTACTCTGGCTCTATGGTAACCTTTGGGAGGAAAAAGAATGTTGCTTCTTTTGTGCTCTGCCAAAATTTTATACAGGGTGTTTCAGTTTATTGTTGCATAACTTTAAGATTCGATAGAACTTTTAAAATTAATGCATAAAGTCTATATAAACATGGGTCGAAAAATGCGTGGCTTCCGAAATACAGGGTGTTTAAATTTACTTTCTAAAATACTTTTTTTAAATATTTCAAACAATATTTGATGTATGACAGTAAAAATTGGTATACAAGGGTACGACAAAACGAACCATGGGCATAGTTTTACTGTAGCCGCTAGAGGGCGCTCTCTACTGTACCTGTAGTGTATTAAAATGACCGAAAAATTTTTCTTATTGCAATTTTTTGCTTTTTGAATAAAAAAACTGATTCTTCGCACTTTTTAACATAAAAAAGCTCTCCTGTGAGTTTTCGTTATAGTTAGCCGTTTTTGAGATATTTCGATTTTTAAGGTTCGATGCATTTTTAATTATTTATGGAAAATAATATTTTTTTTTTACATTTTTGATTTGGGCATTACAAGTAATTAAGATGATTGTTTAGATTGTGTTTTTAAACACAGCAATAATGCCTAACTCCAAATAAACACAAAAAAACAGAATATTAATTTGTTTAATTTTCCAATATTATTTTTAACAAATTAAATTAATTATTTACAACTAAAATGCTATTGGATAGGTAGGACAAACATACAAAATCTAAAGTAGTTGCTCGAAATGTAAACCCAATTGTTCAATACACAATTCACATCTACGAATGATTGAACGTGGTATAGCATTATTCAAATAAGGCATTATTTCATCACATGCATTCCTGATTCTGTCTATTAGCATATCTCTTGTGTTACGGGAGTCTGGTACACTTTTTCCTTTAGAAATCCCCACACAAAGAAATCTAATGGATTTAGGTCAGGAGATCGAGGAGGCCAGGCCACTGGTCCTCCACGGCCGATCCATCTTTCTGGATAATTTTTGTCCAGCCAGTTTATAACTTTCTCGAATAATGTGCTGGACAACCATTAAGCTGGAACCAGGCCAATCTTCTTAAATCTAACATAACATCATCCCACATATTTGCATGTTCAGCCTTTAAAAATTCCAAGAATGTCGCAGCATTTAACCTTGCAGGCAAAAGGTAGGGTCCAAATAGTCGATTACGGTAGATACCAATCCACATGTTCACACTAAATTCATGTTGAAAATTTCTTTCCTGAACTGCATGCGTATTTTCGTGCGGCCAAATATGTTGATTATAAAAATTTACCACTCCACGTCTAGTGAAGCATGACTCATCGGTCCATAAAACGTTACTTAAAAACTCCCTATTATTATTAGTTCTATCAAGAATCCACTGACAAAATGTGATTCTTCGTTCTCCGTCCCCTGGCTGTAGTCCTTGCACAGGTTGCAAATGGAAAGGACGTCTATGGTCATTTCTAAGAACACGGTGAACATGGCTTGCTGAAATTCCCAAGGCACCAGAAACTCTCCTAACACTTGTGGTCGGATCTCTATCAAACTAACGCAGAATCATACGGGTAAATCTGCGCTGACGAACATTTATGTTTTGATCCCTTTGGAGATTTCCAAAACCATTTTCAATTATTTGGCGATGCACTCTTACAAATACTGAGCGAGTTGGATGTCGTCTGTTTGGAAATCTTCGTGCGTATTCTCTGGCTGCTTCTGCTGCGTTTCCATTTACAAAGCCATACACAAAATGAATATCCGCTAACTCTTGATTGGAGAATAAAAATGGCATTTTTATAAAACTTACAAAAAAAAAACAGGTAAAAGAAACTAAATTTCGTGCATTCACAATTGCAAAAAAACGTTTCAGGTTTCAACAGACAACAAAACTAATTGACGTTTAACCTTCTTCTGCTTTCAATTTCAAAAATATTTGCAGGCACAGCCTACTTCTAAAAATTATCGAGATTATCATAAATAATTAAAAATGCATCGAACCTTAAAAATCGAAACATCAGTTTTTTTATTCAAAAAGCAAAAAATTGCACTATGAAAAAATTTTCGGTCATTTTAATACACTACAGGTACAGTAGAGAGCGCCATCTAGCGGCTACAGTAAAACTATGCCCATGGTTCGTTTTGTCGTACCAAAAAACCCTTGTATACCAATTTTCACTGTTATACATCAAATATTGTTGAAAATATTTAAAAAAAACTATTTTAGAAAGTTAATTTAAACACCCTGTATTTCGGAAGCCACGCACTTGTCGACCCATGTTTATATAGACTTTATGCATTAATCTTAAAGTTATGCAACAATAAACTGAAACACCCTGTATACCCTGCTAATTGATACTCCTGAAAACAGACTAATACATTTTGAATATAATATACATACATGCATTAATAAATGAAAAAAAAAATTAAAATAAGTTTTAAAAATCAAAATGTGTGCAATAGAAGTAGCTATCATATCAGTGGGTAAGATATTTAACAGAAAATAACTATTAATTAGAATAATACATCAAACTACAAAACATTTTAATCTATAGTTCAAAACTAGATCCTCACCTGTTGCTCTTGAAACAAAGGCTACACGTTCTGTCTTAGTTTCAGTGGACAGCGCTCCCGAGACGCTATATAAATATTTATAATAGTTTCTTTTTCAGAAACCGACAAAGCACTTTTTGCCCGTTTTCTTGGTAATTGTCCCTCGTCTAATAAGGCACTCATGTCGAAATATCTTTTTAAAAGTTGTCTCACAAAAATGAATGAAGGACACCAACAAAAAATTCAACCGCTTATCTACCGAAAACGGACCAATAGGAACGAGGCGCGTGACGGTCAGATGATTTACTACTCCGTACGTTCGTCCGATAGATATAGTAATACTTGTATAGCTTTCGTTCCTTCGACCTCAGTGGTCGATTCTCGTAATACATGGAACTTTGTGCTGTCTTGTTTCAATAATATCAATATCCTTTTTCTAATTATAGAAATCTCATCGTTTGCTGCCAACCAACCTTTACGTAGTACTCTACAACTTCAAGTCTCGACACCAAGACGAGCTGGATTTGAAGGCAGGATACAAAGTGACAGTGATAGATACCTCCGACACAGATTGGTGGAAAGGGAAATGTTTGGGAAAAATCGGCTTCTTTCCGTCAAAGTATGTGTCTAAGTTGTCGCCTGGAGAAAAAGCTCTACAGGTTTGTATTGAAGTAATCACGCTTTATAAATAATAACATTGATAAACACAGGATTTGTGACATGACAATTTTTGGGTGTATCCTATGTATTTTTAAATCAAATCTAAAAACAGAATTTTTCTATCACCCACAGATATTCGGTAATATCTATTTTTATTATTATTATTTTATTACAATACGTAACATCTCATATTGCTGCATTTCTCGGCGTTTATGCGATGACGCACATATATAATGTTAAGACCTGTCTATTCCTGTTTATTATATGCGAGCTCTATGTTTGGAGAGCATATTGCGTTTATTAATAGACTAATAGCAGCCGAGTCAGTTACGTTTTCTGTGTTGAAGAGTACTGAGATGTTCTAAGTACTGAGAAGAGAACCGAGAGACCATACTACTGATTGCTATTTTTGCCTCACAAATAGTAAAGGTATTGGACCAAAAGCGAAACATACTGTTAAGTATTTTAATTTATCATCAGCTTTGCGGCCCTTTAAGCATAGTGATGACCTTTCTGTCCCAGTTCCACCAGAATCTTGGTCTTTGGATGAAAAAGTCGAATCCACCGATTCTGAAAGTGATGGTGTACAAGAGGCGTAAAAATTTCCGATAATTCATTTGGCCTGCCAGGATGTTCAACAGCAAACGTAATGACTTAGTTCGAGAATTAAATCTGTCAAAATCCCATTCAGAACTTTTAGCGTCAAGATTAAAATGATGGAATCTTCTCCACGGTGATGTTAACATTACTTTTTACCAAAAACGGCAACAGGACCTCACACACTGTTTCCGCCAAAAAAGGGAGTTGATATATTGCTCCGATGTCAACAATTTGTTTGACGCGTTAGGACAGAAACATGATCCAAATGATTGGCGCCTGTTCATTGATTCCTCTAAGCTTAGTTTAAAAGCGGTATTGGTACACAACGGTAATAAATATCCATCTTTACGTATAGCGCACGCAGTTCATATGAAGGAATCATACAAAAATATGCTAGTTCTGTTAGAGCATATCCGTTATAATGAATATGGCTGGGCCATATGTGCAGATTTAAAGGTTCTTCTTCTTGGAATGCAACTGGGATATACCAAATATTGTTGTTTTCTTTGTGAATGAGACAGTCGTGCGCGAGATCGTCATGATGAACAGAAGGAGTGGCCACTACATCAGGTATTAACTCCGGGCCTCAAAAACATTGCTCATGAACCACTAGTTGATCCCAAAAACGTGTTGCTTCCACCTTTTCATATTAAATTTGGACAGATGAAAAATTGTGTGAAAGCTATGGATCGAAATGGAAGAGGGTTTCTACATTTAAAACAAACATTTCCGAGACTTAGTGAGGCAAAAATTAAAGAGGGCATATTTGTGGGTCCACAAATACTGAAAATCTTGAAGGATGGTGTGTTTGACAGTGCTCCAAATGAAACTGAATTACGAGCTTGGAATGCTTTTGAATCAGTTAGTGCAAATTTTTTAGACAATCTGAAGGCGGACTATTATAAAGATATTGTGAGTAAACTAATTAATGCTTATAAAGGAATGGGATGTAACGTGTCTCTAAAAATTAATTGTTTGAATTTTCATCTCGATTTTTTTCCAGAAAATTTAGGTAAGTGATGAACATGGTGAACGGTTCCACCAAGACATTTCTGCTATAGAAAAACGCTATCAAGGCAAATGGAGTGTCAATTTGCTTGCTGATTATTGCTGGAGATTGTTCAGGAGCAACATATCGCCGTAAAACATCGACAACAACATTCTGAGATTAATGTCTATTCGAGTGTTTATTAGTACTCTTACACACATATCCTTATATTTTACGAGTATAAGCAGCAAATAAAATGCCTTATTGCAAGAAAACCGTGGGTGATAGGAAAAATCGAATGCTATTTCCGGCTTTTTGGGTACAATTTACATAATAACCGCCTGATTTTGTCCATGTCACAAAAAATGATTTTAATTTTGTTCACCTGTGTAATCGGTCGTATGATTCTGTTCTCAATTTTTATTTGTGGTAAGACATTGAAATATATTTGAAGCTAAATATAATACTGTAAGAATGTTGGTCACCGTGTCTGGAAAGTTTGGTTAACAAACTGCATAGGTATACTAACAAACGTTAAATGAAATGTAGTTATTTGATACAGGGGAGTTTCCAAATCATAAATTCAAATGATATTTTTGCCGAAAGCCTTATGTCTATAGAATATAGATCATCAATATGTCCGTTGAAAATGTCTTCTTCCAGGTCACTCATAACTTGCAAGTATCTGATGGTGAGAACGGTCTGATGTTACTAAGGGACCAGATAGTAATCCAAGTAGGAGAGGAAGTTGATGGAATGGTTATGATCAGATCTGGTGACAACCGACAGGGTGTGTGCCCCATAAAATTTTTACAAGAGGTAAGAAATCACTCCATATATTCACAAATAATGCATATTGGCAAAATGACATCACAGATCCTAGATGATGTAAAACAATTACTGAAAGCTCTTCAGTGTTAATTTGTCTAATAATTATTGTAGATCTCAATACGTGTGTCGGAAGTGTTCATAAGCCTAGAGAGTTTGTGTGGCTTCTATGTTAGATCTTCAACAGATTTTTTCCATAAAGGGTTCTACAGTGCCCTTCTACCTTCTACGCCTACTGGCGGGAATATTGCAATCGCGAAAATTTTCTAAAATGAGAATTTATGTTGTTTGGATGTCACATAATATGCACATCATAAACCATGTCACTCATTTTCATAGGTATGTCTGTCTGACGGTCTGTCTGTCCGCTAATCCTTGGACCGCCTATAGCCTGAGAAATACTTTGCCAACCGCTCAAGTTTTTTTGAACGTTTCATAGGATCGTGATCGTTTTGAACAAAAATTGTAGAAGGTGTATCGCAACTCTTTAAGTTAGTATAGTAAAATTGCACAAGAAGCTGTTCCGAACGCCTGGGAAGTAAAGAGTCAGTCTACATTTTTTTTGGAGGTGTTACTCTCTGACTTCCCCTCATCGCTATGTTCCTGAATACATCTCGCTTTTTCTAGGTGTGACAAAATAATGAAACAATCTGCTATACACCAACCCCTTGCAACTGCCTCACGAGAAGAGAAAATAGTACACAGACCACGCTGAAGAAAATTTACTACCCTAGTCCCAGGATTATCCAGAACAACGTGTCCACCAAACAGAACAACAAGAAGAACATCACTTCTGGAAACATCCTTCAGCACTATTACAATAACTTTGGGAAGAATAACAAAGACACCAACGTTTACAACAACGTGCTGAATAGGAGAAGGAATGAATTGGCGTTTTTACATGGAAAAGCTCCATTCTCTTCAACAAAACGCCCTCTATCAATCAGACTGTCCACGCCAAAGCACGTCATGAGCTTTCTCAGCAGACCCTTCAAATCAGACTCTCAAAAACGACCATTACTGTTACAGGGATCCAACACGTACAATCCGAAGCCAAGCTTTCAGATCATTCCTAACAAGAACGGGCTAAAGATATCTTCTATTTATACGATTAGCGAAAATGTAGAGAAATTTAGTTTGTATAGGAAGAATCTGTATATCACTTCGAATAGCAGACCTCTTTTTGTTAGGATTTAAAACAGTAAGTTATGAGAATATGACCCATGTATTTTTTTATGAAACAAAGTTGAATTGGTGATACCTCAGTAGCATACAAATTTCGTACATTAACAGTAGTAGGAAGGCCCACGAGAGGATTTCGGTATCGAGGCAGATGATGATACCTTGCCTACTCTATGCATAAGCCCTTTATCAAGGGCTGTGCGTTTAGGTAGCCGATCAGATTAGTAAAAACTCGAACATTAAAAATACTCTAGCGCGTCAGATTAATCTAAGGAGGATTAATTAAATGCTGAAAAGTAAGTATTCCAACAGTCTAATGATTTGCAATGAGCGTGACGTAAGGGAGTGAGGACACTTGTAAGAAACGTCAAATTGATTTGTTTTTTAATTTTGAAGGAAGGAATAATATAATCTGCCGATTTCCTCCAGCTAATGTAGCATAAATTGTCAATAAAATTATTTTTTTCTTCCATAATTTGCCTGTCTCCCACTATCTCGCACCGTCCCCACACTTTTCGTCCCCATGACGCCATTACAGCTGATCGCAGAGGCGTTCGTGGAGTTATAACATACCTACAACGCTTATCAAAAAGGTCTCCTCACTTAAGTACGCCACGGGTATTACGTATCTTGAAAAGAGACATTTTGTCGTTTTTTTGACAAAACGTAGGTTTCTCTACAAGATTTTAATTTAGCACTAGTTGATGGATACTTGTTGTGAACTCGTTTTGTAGTTGTACGTGTTACCTAAACGTCATGCTTCAGTTATCAATGTTTGGCTCTGTTGTGATGTAACATCTGTTTCAGAGATGGCATTATTGGATATCTAAGCTGTAAGTTGTATACTATAGCTGGAAGGAAAATGCAGTGCATAGCTGTATAGTGAGGATTTGTATGCTAATAATATGTGTTGATGATAGTTCCATTGGGATCTTGTCCCAAATACACTTAGTTGAAATTTAAAGTTAGAAATTACTTCCGTATTCACTTTTTCTTATTCATTCTGAGAATTACATATGCAAATTTGCTGAATTTCAAGACTGAAAGAGTTAAGAAAAGAAAAAAAAAACCCTGGTTGGTGGAGTAACAGGTAGGAATGTTCATGAAAGTAAAAAGGTTATCACATTATTTTTTATTTCCAGTCATTTAAATTTCATAGAAATTTATTTTGCGATGTCACTAGAAAATACAAAGTAGTCACCTAGATGTGAGGCACTGCGAAAATGATGTGTGATGCGTCATTTCTAATTTTCCTGTGATGTGGCTCAATGATTTCCCGTAATGTTCCTCAAAGTTTTTGAAAACACAAGAGTGCAAAATCGTAATTTATAACTTTTAACATAACCTGTCTTCAAAAAAGGATGTCATATAAATAACCCGTCGGGCCAAGCTAATAGATATACTTTATTGGCAGCTTATTCAGTAACGATTTTCTCACATAGCAAATATCACTGATTTTATACACATGCAGACCAATACACACAATCATCCAGATGCGACCTTGCTACTTAACCAACCTTCTGTCTTTCACATCTTCTCAGAGGTAAACACTACAGACTACTCGGCTTCACAAAGCATATACTTGCTTTTGCAACCAACAATGCGTGTCGTTGGGTCATTCCTACATAGATGGACGCTCACAGCGATCATAGTGAACAATTGTGGAATGAACTACATGCGCCCTAAGGACTACCTAGTCTGTAAGATGATATTTTGTCGGTTTTTTGTCGTTTTTTATGTACAAACGCTATAAAACGTCAAAAAACAACGAAATGTCATCTTGCAGACGTCATAGTTTTTAGAGTGCAAATAGTTCATTCCACTTTTCCTCGCTATGATCGCTGTGAGCGTCCATCTATGGAGGAATGACTCAACTACACGCATTGTTAGTTGCAGAAAGCAAGTATATGTTTTGTGAAGCCTAGTAGTCCGAAGCTTTTATCTCTGAGAAAATGTGAAAAAAAGAAAGTTGATTGAGTAGCAAGATCGCATCTAGATGATTATGTGTACTTATTGGTCTGCATGTGTATAAAATCAGTGATATTTGCTATAAGAGAAAATTATTACTGAATATGCTGCCAATGAAGTATCTATTAGCTGTGACCGACGAGTTATTTATATGTTGTCCTTTCTGAAGACAGGTTATGCTCAAAGTTATAAATTACGATTTTTTGTGTTTTCAAAAACTTTGAGGAGCATTAAGCAAAAATGTCACTGCACCCGCCATTAAGCGACACCACAGAAAAATTAGGAATGACGCATCACACGTCAAACATTTTCGCAGTGCCTCACATCTAGGCGCTGATTTGTATTTTCTATTCACATGGCAAAACAAATTTCTATAAAATTTAAATAACTGGAAATAAAAAATAATGTAATATCATTTTCACTTTCATAGATATTCCTGACTGTAATTACTAGAATGAATAAGAAAAACTGGATGCGCAACTAATTTCTAGCTTTGAATCTCAAGTAAGTGTATTTGAGACAAGAACAGAATGAAATTATCATCAACACATATTATTATCACACAAATCCTCACTATACACCTATGGACTGCTGTTTCCTACCAGCTATAGTATAGAACTTACAGGTTAGACCTCCAATAATGCCATCTCTGAAGCATCATGCCGTTTAGGCAACACGTACCACTACAAATCAGTTCACAACAATTGTCCATCAGCTAGTGCTAAGTTAACATATTGTAGAAAAACTCGTTATGTCAAAAAAACACCTACGTTATGTCAAAAAACCGACCTACTGTCACTTTTCAAGATACGTAATACCCGTGGCGGTCAGGCAAGCTGATATTGGAGATAACCAGATTACGTTAACGTAAAGTGGAAGCCGGAAATTTCAACATCGTAGAAAATGTTTTAAAATGGAAATGTAGTCATGTGGTACCTCATTTTAAAACGACTTATAAGTACTGTACAATCCTAAATTATTAAATTATCTATCTTCCAAAATGACGACCGTGCGATCAAAGTTGAGCGTTTTTGTACGTTTAATCGGTTCCAACTCAACAAATCAGTATCAAAACGCCCTCGTATAACTGGAACTGTGTACCAGCGAAACATCGCTTAGGCAGCCGAAATTACGTGACTGTGCGTGAGCGATTGAGGAGCTTCGAATCCATGTTCGAGAGCGTTCGGCGTCGAGATGATCTAGATCTAGACCGCTTCCATGAAAGTTCGCGACTCGGCCTGGAAGACGCTGGATTATTTCTCGGCTCGTCGATAGGTGAATAAATATAGGCAGAGATGGCTGAAGGAGGACAGTCAACGGACAGAGTTCGATGACCCAACAAGCGATAGTCCAGTCGACATGGTTATAAATTTGTCATAAATTAATTGCAAGTGTAATAAATTAGTGTAAATTAGACTGCGAACAGCAAAAACGGTGTTTTATTTACAGTATGGTATATCAATATTCTTCTTTTAGAAAAATCTAAAAAAAAAGTATTGGAAATTCCATTTTAATAATAACAGAGTTTTACATTCAGGTCAAGAAAATTCCTACAAAAAACATTCATATTATGGATCAGGACGTCATTCAAGATGAATTGTCTATAAAAATCTGACGCGCTGGAGTATTTCGAAATGGCGATTTTTTCTGCGATTTTAAGACGCTGTGATTTTCCCCGTTTTCTACCCTTAAGTATAGCTACCCCTCATAATGCAAAACATCAGATTGATATACTATATTACCACTATAAATTGTTTGACGCTGGAGTATTTTCATGTAAGTAATTTTTGACATTTTTGAAAATCTGTAAATGCTCTCCCCACCAGTGAAACAATATTTTTCTTTCTACGATATAATCTTCCAAATACAATAGGTCCCTGCGACGCTCGACTAAATACCGATTTAGTATCGTGGGCTCCCCTATTAGCTACAGTTTTCCTATCTTTTAACATTTAACTTTTTAGAAGTAGATTGTACCATCAGCTAATTTTTTTCATAACCTAGGAACGACTTTTTTGAAGATACATAGTAACATAACCCAATGACGTAATCTGGTTTCACACGAATGTCGCTAATACATTTTCTAACAAAGTTTAAAAAAGGTTCAAAGCATCGATATAGAAAATCCTAGCCTAAAGTTGGTTTTCATCTTTTCTAATATTATTATTCTGATCATTTCTTTATTCTTATAAATTTTGTTTCGTTAAAGTCTGTCACGAAAGTATTTAAGTCAAACGTTTGTGTGTTAACGGGGTAGCACCTTCCTCATTTTTAGAATATTTTTGCACCAAATTAGGAATTGATAGTGAATCTTTTGAAAGAATAAAAGTGCGATCCTAGAATTTATTTCAATCACACCTAACTCACAACTACAGGGTATGTCATCAATTATTATTTTGAAGGCAGTTAGCATTTAGAGTGGACGTTAGAGTAGCTGACAGTCTGTGAAGAACTAAAACTAATTCTGTAACACTTGACTCAAGGTACAGATCAGGGATATTGATCGACAAACACACCGAAAACTTTAAATACACTAGAAAGTAACTATAATACGTGGCATAGCTCCAAAACATATTTAATCGGGCAACAATATATCCAAGAAAGCAACGTGTTGGAAGCGCTGAGGACCAAAAAATGTTGCAAAAGGGTATCCCATAAAATATAGACTTAAAAGACTTATATAGGGATAACGAAGCCGTATGCCTCGAAGCCCATGCAGCTTCCAAAAAAAAACAAGATAAATTTTTTGCTCCTGAATATTTTTTACTAAGAATGAAAGGATGTAGTACTCTGGTATGTACCCTTGAACGTGGAACAGAATAAACTAACCTCTCCACAGAATCCTGGTTCAGTTAATCATGTTAGTAAAACGCAACAACCCATTCTAATGGTACATAAAAATTAAATTTCGTTGAGTTTCAAATAGTACTTATCAGTTGTTATAGGCTGTTTATTAATATTTAGCAGAGCACATATAAATATTGTTGCAGAAATTTGTATTTTCTAGAGATTGTTTTTGAAAATAGATTCTGAAAATGCAGCATAACTTGACTGAAGGGAAAACTATATAACAACTATCGTTATTCATGATGTTAGAAATATATAAAACATTCATTACTAAGCACATGTTTGTTCTCGTCTTGCCATTAATTTTTTTATCGTACAAGTTCATCTTTTAAAGTCACCGCTGATTTTTTTACCAAAATTTCAGTACGAAGCATAGGACATTCCAAATTTCTTTATGCTGCATTTAAGTATTATGTGTAACAGATATATGTTGTATGCTTATAGAAACAATAACTAGTAGTAAGATAATTGACAAATGTAATATCGAAGAATAAGTTTAATATTTCGTTATGCTAGAAGCTGGCTGTTAAGTTTATCATTAGTCTTTTAATAAAATTTTAATAATTTCTCCGCTCGTTAAAAAATGTATGATAGAAAAATCGGTTTGCTATAAGATTAGGCAAAAAATCTGATTATACCTCATACCTCGAAAAGAGATACTACAGGGCGGGGATATATAATAAGAAGAATAAGAGAACTGGCACATAAGTAATATTACATTTGTTAATATTTATGCAAAAGTATATCGTCAGTCTGTAATTTGTGTACCTTTCCCTCAAAAGACTGCTTTATAATTGCATTGTGTGAACCTACAGTAATTGCCTTAAACTAACTATTTTCCAATTGATCTACTATAACTTCCTTCAATGCCTATTTAAACGTTTATATTACAAAATGACACAATGCAATTCTAACTGACATAAAAGTGCACTCGACCAAAACCCTTCGTTAGACATGGTTAGGATAATATCATATCAAAGCTTTTGCGGACGGAGGTATGTATATTATTGAATTCTGCAGAGAACTTTTCCACAACGAAGCAGAAGAATGCACGCCCAATTTGTTTCTAGTATCTGTTGTAAACAAATTAATCACTTTATGTTTTATTCTTAATATGAATTCCTTTTCTAAGGAGATCTCGTATGCTCATAACAGAAACCCAAAAATTTATAATGATGCTTTTTTTAATTTTGTTGATAGAGTGTTTGTACCGCTATACATGAATATAGAAAGTTTAGTTTTTCGTCACACTTGCCATTTTTGTTCTAAGCACTCCGTTTCTCCTCTTTCTGAAAATGACTACACTGTGAAACAGGTTTCTGCATATCTACTCTAGTTACTGTGTAAATGTATCTTGTGTAATAGGAGAAGGAAGCATGTTAAACAACACTAGACAATGGAGTACCTTGTATCGTTACTTTTACAACGACATACCAAACCGGGACAGGTTGATCCATCCTAAGGGAAACGTGAATTCAAAAAAATGTCATAAGCTCACATAACACCGAATCACTTCTACACGTGGTAACAGTCTGATGTTATTTTTTAAATACGAAACATACCCGGTGTAAAATAAACTGGATTAAAAATGATTATGCTTTAAAGTACCCAATCGAAATTTCTTATCCAAACTCTTGGTATAGGTTTTCCCTTGTTAGGTTAAATAATACTGATGAAGGGACTTTTCTACTCGACTTGTTACTTGCTGTCCTATTTATTGCTGCTACATTAATCGTACTTACGTTGTTCTCTCATAAAGCTATTTTTGGAGAGATGTTAATATAATATTCAGTAAATTCAATCACCACTATCTCAGCTACTTATTATTTTCAACGTGGACATTTAAAAGGTAGTATAAAGTATCTGTAATCATAAGACTCCACGGAAAATATACACATATCTCCTATCTGCCATTTTCAAAAGGCGACTTATCTTCTCCTATTACGTACGATAATGAATGATCGTGTATGTACATAAGCAAAAATTTGTGTTTTAGATAAACCACTGACAGCACATTGTTGAAGTATATGTGAAAATAAAATCCTATGTATGTTTAAAATGTGAATTTATTTCTCACCTACTTCCTCGAAACCTTCGGCAAAGCCTTAGTACACTTGAATGATTAGTATAAAACGTCAAATCTCTATTTTCAAAAAGTAACAGGTTTATATTTTCCGATAGCCTAACTACTGGTCCCCATGTCAAACAAATTTAAGGGGAAAAAAGCGGAAAGTTCACTGAACTGCAGAGATCCTTGGTAGCGGAAACTGGCATTCTTAGAATTAGAAGACCCTCGCTGAATAACGATGGGCCTTCGGAAACTTATTAAATGATCTAAATAATTATAGGAAAAAGAAAATAAAGATATATTAACCTTACTTTCACAAAGTGATTCCCAAAGTAGGGCAGGTGGACCCCTAGTGGTCCAGGGGAGACTCACCGGGGGTCTACGTTGGAGTAAAAAAGGGAGGTTCACGAAAACTTATATCGTTTCGTAAATGTTGACAGATAATATTTTAAGAAGGCCAGCAACTGTCCCTCGAAAAAGCTTGTGTATTTAATGTTCCAAACTTGTTACAGTCTGAATGTCTTGATACGTTGAAAATTTAGATGAATTCAAGAACATATTTGACGATATCCATACGATGGAAATACTATCACTGATCAAACCCATTTGATAAAATGGAAGCGGGAAATGTGGTATTACAAGGAGAGCTGCTCAAGCTTAGCACTAATGAGGAGCTGAAAGTTAAATTTAAGTAAGGCTAGGAACCACTTTTTCGGCAGGCAGAAATACCCAAAAATATTCTGAGCTCTGGGAAATTGCGAGAAAATTTATGATTTTGTTCCCATGCGAAAAAAGATTTCAGTGTTATTACAAATCTATTAGAAGAAAAAAGGGACAGATTGAACATTGCAGACCGTGGAGTTTGGGCTTATTACTTACACAACTGAAGCCACATATTGATCATTTGTGTGTCAATTCATATTATCTTTTACTGTTGATTTATATTGCGTTTTACTTTATTAATTTGATGCAAAGTAACTCTATTTCTATTACATTTGTAATCAAGTTATTTTAGTAAATAGGATATAATAAAATATTTTTCTTTTTACTTTCACCACTCTGAAAATCTGCATCATTAGATCTAATCTTCACACTTCTTGACGAGCCTTTGGAATATGGTGAGAATGTAACAGGGATCCATCGAAACCAGACAGAGAGAAACAAAAGTTTGAGAACCACTGCTTATATAGATTGACTTCATTATTCTACACATCATAAAACATTCAATATAGTATATAATTTTATATCAAATAGATATTTAGCAGTAAATTGTTTTTACTGTGAAAACTTGTACGGGAACGCCATTTCCACACGTTTCCACTCCAACACATCACTGGATCTTAGCAATCCGCTTCCACTCACGAAGAAGGCAGCCGTGGACAGGGCAGATCTGATGGTAGCTGCCTTGCATCTATTGCTTCTGTCAGATATCTCTTTAGGGAGTCTAAGAAAAAACCGTCCTATAATAGTCCAAGAAGCAGACGGGCATCATACGGACCCCGCAATAAATATCGAAAAATATAATCAAGGACCCAGCAACACGACTATGGGAAAAGTGGTTTCGGTTAATTTCGCCGAATTTTTTAAAAATTATGCGTCTGGCATCCTGAACAAATGTTTCAATGGGCACAGGGCCCCAACTTCAACCGGTCCCAAGACACTCCTCAAACCCATGTCTGTGTCAGCTTTTAAAAGAAGTTACAGAAAATTTCTATTAGATGAACTGCAGTGTTTACTTTATATTGTTCCATTCTTTTTTATGTTTATTCAGCTTGCTTATTTGAAAACTTCCTATCACGGATTTATCGAAAACCACTGATTAAAAGAAAAAACAACGAGACACGTCAAAAGATTTGCCAAGGGGGACAACTTTTTAACCAAAAACTACTTCACCTCCTTTCACCCTCTGCCCCCCAGGGTCATCTCCTTAAAAATTTTAAGCGACAAGGGGTATCGAGTAATACCTTGTTTGAAAGGTCTTGCGAAGTCCTTAATTTTGACGTTTGCTTTTCCAAAATCGGTCGATTCGTATTCAAGAAAATTAGAAAAATCTTTATATCCTAATTTGTTTAAGATATAAAACAGAAACACCCGAAGATATCACTTTTTATTTCAATAAGTGATCAAAATGTTGCCTGTTGTTGGTCAAACAATGGTACAGGCGATGTTCAAATTCCTCAAGGACATTTTCAAAAACATGCTGTGGGATAACATAGCAGGTTTTGATGATGCGTTGACGAAGATTATCCAAACTTTCAGGTTTGGAAGTAAACACAAAAAAGGTCCAAATGGCTTTAAATCAGGAGATCTAGCAGGCTATTCTATAGGCCCTCTTCGCCCTATACATTTATCTGGAAACTCGTCGTCTAGCCATTGCTGAACCGGAAGAATATAGTGAGGAGGAGTGCCGCCTTGCTGGAAATATATTTCAGCCTCTTCAAGTATAGGGTTTCCATCCTCTTCGATTTAGTTTTCAATGATTTCAGTGATAAGCGGATTGATGGTATTTTCCAACATAGCCAAGTGAATGTCTCCATTCAAATTTCCATTAATAAACAATGGCCCAACCGCTTTGTTTCCTAAAATGACCCAAAACTTCAACTTGAGCGGCTTCATCCTAAACGTTTTTTATTTGCAACAGAGACAGTTTGAGTAAATTTAGTAACAAGGTCCAAAACATCCTATGCCGGATGTCTGACGTTAAACGTGACTGCAGTTTTCCGATCAAAATGATTTTGGGCACCATAAATTAGAATCATTTCCACTGTTTCGGCTAGTGTGAGTTATGTACTTTGGCTCACTCTATACAATATAATTATTATAATGCATCATCTTCTCGTTACCTTGTATCCATCATTACCGTTGTTAGAAAACTTAGAATTATCTCAGACATGCAAGCTGATACGTCCTCCATGCTTCTTGAGAATTAGCTTATGTGTGTATTTCTATTATACGAAGAAAAACCCTCGTTCGCCCCAGGGCGAAGAAGTTCACTGACACCCGCCTGGTCAGAAGAAATAACGCCACTTGGGCCAGAGGCCAATAGCAGAACCGGAAGAACCAAGAGCAGGCCGAGAATTTGGGCGCTTTCCACTATTGAAACGGCCAAAGGTCAACATCTGGCTTGGGAAAGACAACCCATCGAGGACGCCACCCCACAGCTAAATGTTAGAAGTTCAGGACGGACCAAGAATGAAAATTATTCTTATGTTCACTCTGTAAGTCCCTATCTTTGTTCATTCTTGCTCTTGGTGTGCACAACTCAATTTAATATTTAATTCGTTATTGATTTAAAGATTTTGACTGATATATTAGTACTATTGCTATGATTGACGTATGTGTATATGTATATTCAATTTCTACGTTTAAACTTTAATGTTAGGTGGTACAACCGGTACAGGTTACCACTCAGATTCTGATTCTGATATCGATTTGCCCATAAGACATTCTGGACACGAAATGGCCGAGATCACAGGTACTGAAATAATGCTTGCTAGGGATATGGTTATTAGATATATATATATATCGGGAAATTTAAATCAAAATGATCTTACTACTATAAAAAATAATTTTCATAAATACACAAACTCGGATTATAGAGCAAGTAAATAATCAAATATCTTTTGCACAAGTAATTTCAGCAAAATTGGAAGATAATATGAATATCATTTATTTAAGTAATGATGTAAAAGAAGCTTGGAGTGACACACCCTGTAAGAAAACTGAAAATTTTCATGTTTGCTCTTCTTCGCAGCGCATCAATGTATGCTCATTCAAAAATAATTATATGCATTGTGTATTCCATGAGGTCAAAAACGAGTATTACCTTTGTAAAAAATTCTGGAGCCAAAATGCTCTAATTTTTTATTCAAAATCATTTCGAACCGTAGTAGAGAAATGTGAAAAGAACGTCAAGAAAATTAACATAAAGGGTTCCTATATGTTGAATAACATATGTGATATAATAATTGATGAAGACATATTTTATCTATCAAATATCAATTTTACAATTAACGAAAATTCTAGTTGGTTACCTGAACTAAATATGACAGCCAATACCACAGTTGAATTGAGCAACTATCATTTTTTTAAATTTGGAAGAATTGAGAACTACTCTCACACAAATTAAACCAATTCTTTATCAAAATCTAAATTTTTATCATACCGGAATAATTAGCGGATTCTCCATATTTGGCTTAATCATTGTTATTAGAGTAATTTATCTTATATACAAATGTTGTCTAAAAGACTTGTTCATTGGAAAGGGTTCTAATCCTCCTGTAATGGAAATAAATATTTCTGAAACTAAAAGAAACCGAAACGAGGACGTTTCGATCTAGAGGGGAAGAGTTACAGGGTTTGTCCGGAAAGTAATAGGACTGAGTCGATTTAAAAAAATGTATTGAGCCAATCGTTACAATTCTTTAAACACTTTCAAAATAGGCTCCTTCTGCGTCGATGCAGCGCTGCCAGCGCGATTTCCAAGCATTAAAGGCGTCACGGAAGGCATTCTCCGGAATAGCCTTGAGAGTCGCGGTGCATGCTGCTTGGATCCCCTCTGTCGTCTCAAAATGCTTGCCTTGCATCGGCCTTTTCAGGCGAGGAAACAAAAAAAAGTCCGGGGAGCCACATCTGGGCTGTAGGGCGGCTGCGGAAGCGTTGGGATGCCGGCCTTGGTCAGGTAGCTATTCACAAGAAAGGCGGTGTGAGCCGGGGCGTTGTCGTGGTGCCACTTCCAGTCGACTGCGATGTCTTGTCGGACCCGACTGACCCTTCGTTTGAGTCTCCTGAGCACTTCCACGTAAAACTTGGCGTTGCCGGTTTGTCCAGGAAGAACAAATTCATGGTGGACGCTGCCTTTGATGTCAAAAAAGACAATGAGCATCGTTTTCACTTTGGATTTGCTCATTTTTCCCTTTTATGGGCGAGGAGACGCCGTCGTGTGCCACTCGGAAGATTGCCTCTTTGTCTCGGGATCATACTCAAAGATCCACGACTCGTCACCTGTGATTACGTTATTCAAAAATTGGGGGTCACGTTCACACATGTTCAAATTTTCTTGGCACACTTCCACTCGCCGCAATTTCTGTTCGTCAGTGAGCACTTTTGGGACCATCTTCGCGCACACCTTGCGCATGTCAAATGCTCTGTCACAATGTCATGAATCACAGATTTTGGTAAATTTAACATCTGGGCAATTAAACGAATACTTAGTCGACGGTCCGAGTTCAAAACTTTGCGCACACGAGTCACATTATCGGTGTTTGTCGAAGACGAAGGTCTTCCAGCACGGTCTTCATCAGCGACCTCTTCCCGGCCCTCCAAAAAGGCCTGGTGCCACCGAAACACACCACTTCTTGCTAAAGCAACACCTGGGTAAGCCTGCTTGATCATATCAAACGTCTCTGTTGCAGATTTACCGAGTTTCACACAGAATTTAATCGCGTACCTCTGCTCTAACGAACGCTGCATTTTCGGCTTGCACCACTCACAGAAACACGTCGCGCGAAAAAGGCCTGTTCTGACTCTCCAAGTACTCGGAGACAACTGACCAGCCGCTCATTTGTTAGCTAGGAACGCCCTCTACCGAATCCAGTCGGTGCGCGGACGCTCCGAGGTACAGTCATGGCGGAAGAAAATTAGTCCTATTACTTTCCGGACATACCCTGTATGTACTTTGGCTCACTCTATACAATATAATTATTATATTGCATCATCTTGGCGTTATCTTGTATCCTTCTATTACCGTTGTTAGAAAACTTTATCTCATATGGGCAACCAGATACGTCCTCCATGCTTCTTAAGAATTAACTTATGCGTGTATTCCTATTATAGGACTTTATAAAAACTGTTTTACTTTTTGTTTGGCACTCAGATAGCTGCCAACTATTGTAGTGGATTCATCAGAGAGAAATAAAAGTTATTCTTTAAAAACACTCGTTCACCCCTGGCAAACATAACTTGTGTAAACCATTTTGGAAGTCAAATCTGAATCAATAAATTAATGTTCACTATCCCAAGATTGTCACAAAGGTGACTGACAGCAAATTAAATTCTTTCTGTCCCATAGCAACAAATAACTAAACAGGTATAACAATAAATAGTTCGCCCAGGATGGTGAAAAGAATACGGAAAAAATTCGCGTTGTTATTTTGTTGTTGCCACGTCTAATCTTCCGAATTGCTGTTTATCTTGGTCCTTTCCGGATTAAGTTATAAACGAATTGTAGATTTGGCAAACCCTAACGGGCAACATTTTGAACACTTAAATTTTCGTATGTTTTTGTTTTCTGTCTGAAGAAATTAAGATACATAAAGATTTTTCTCATTTTCTTGAAAACGAATGGACCGATTTTAAAAAATCAAACGTCAAAATAAAGCACGCTATTACTCGATTCCCCTTGTCATTTAAAATGTTTAAGGGGATGCCCCTGGGGGCAGAGGGCAGAGGGTGAGGTAGTTTTTGGTTAAAAAGTTGTCCCCCTTGACACATCTTTTGACGTGTCTCGGCGTTCTTTCTTTTAATCAGTGGTTTTTATAAATCCGTGGTGGATGTTTTCAAATGAACATCCTGTATGTATATATGAGCATGTAAATGAATACGTATGTATTTCTGTTAAATTTGCCTAAAATGATTTGACCATTTTCGTTAAATTATATTTCTTATATAATTTCTTTATATATTTTTTTGACACTTGTAATTAATTATTTTTAATATTAACTTATATAATTTTTTTGTTATTTTGTTTGTTGGGCTACTACATTGATCAGCTTGTCTGTTCACTAGCCCCTTTTTCAGGAAATTGATGTTTTTTCATTTTTAATTTTTTTTCTCGTTGTATATTTTTTTCCTCTGCAAATAAACGCTATTATATAGGCCGTCTAAGTCAGTCTAACGTCAACGCTGGAGTTCTCCAGAGATCCATCTTGGCTCCGACACTGTTCCTCTTACATATCAACGACCTCCTTTCCTGCACGATCAACCCAATCCACAGCTTCGCTGATGACAGCACTCTACATGCAGGAATTCAAAGAGACAAGCCGATCTCTGCCGCGGAGCTGGAAAAAAGAAAACTAGCGACGACTTCCTCTCTGACAAGAGACCTGGAGGCTATCACTGCTTGGGGACGCAACAATCTTGTACAGTTTAATGCTTCCAAAACACAATACTGTACTTTGACGAACAAAAAGCGTCCTAGTGCTCATTTCGGCTGGTCAGAGTCCAGATTACCGAGGATCTGATCTGGCACGAACACATCTCGTTAATAGCTGCAGCTGCTGGGAAAAAGCTAGGCTATTTGTTTAGAGCTAAGAAGTACTTTTCTCCGCATGACCTTCTCACTCTATACAAGGCTCAAATAAGGCCTGGCCTCGAGTATTGCTCACAAGTTTGGGGTGCTGCCGCCCCGACTACATTATCTATGCTCGATGCTGTCCAGAGGGGGGCGGTCCGACTGATCGATGTCTCTTCTCTAACAGACAGTCTCGGGACTCTTTCGCACCGGCGGGCCGTCGGCGATATAGCTCTTTTCTACCACTACACCAACGGGCTTTGTTCCTCAGAGCTCTCTTCCATGATGCCGCCGCGCGATGTGCCTGAGAGACAGACCCGCCTAACTTTGGCGTCCCATCCTAACCGTGTCGAACTTCGTACATCCAGAACTGGCCGATAAGACCGCTCATTTGTCCGAGCGTGTCGAGATTGTGGAACAATCTACAAGAGGAAGCTTTTCCCAGTTCTACTAACCTTAGGCAGTTCAAAAATCGTATTAAAAATTTCTTTGGGATCAGAGCAGTCGCGGTGTTCCGGCATTTAGGCTTCTGCCTGCGCGGCTGCTTCGATATAAAAAAAAAATACTTGAACAATGGAAGCTTGCACATATGGTGCATCATAATACTGGTATCCTTGAGTCCAGTGCGAAAAACAGGATTTGATGAAATTAATAAACACATTTTGTCATGAAATATTTTATTATATGATCCTAATTCAAACTAAGTAATAGTGGACTGGACATACATTAAATGTAACATACTTAAGCATTATTTTTCGTATGTAAACTTATCTCGCTAATCATAATACTAACGTATCCTTAATAAACGCATTGGAAATAATGCAACCGTTATACCTTTGGTCAAAATGTCAGTGTTACACAAAGAATAAAAAATCACAATAAACAATTCAAAAGGCCACATCAAACTAATAATTTGCCAGAAGTGTGGCTACTAAATCACGATACCCTAATATTTTGGTTAAATTTGGTTTTGGAAATCGCTATCAAATGGCGTCAATCCTCCTTGTCTAGAAGAGATTCATTTTTTTATAAATGGTAGGTCAAATTTTATTTGCAATGTCAAGTGAAAAAATTAAAAACTCGCTTCAAATAAAACGTCTAAAATGTCCATAAATAATACTTCACACCTATAGGAAACCCTTCCTACAATAAACAAGTAGTTCCCGCCGGTATAACCAACACAATAACAGCTGGGCCTCCATCCCTTAATTCCAGTCACCGGCTGTCGATCCCATTCCGCCACCTCGTCCGCCTCTGAATCCCCCGCCACCTCCTCCGTATCCACCTCTACCTCCAAATCCTCCGCCACCACCTCCCATGTATCCTCCTCTACCTCCGAATCCGCCACCGCCGCCGTATCCACCCCTGCCTCCGCTATATCCGCCACCATTGAAGCTAGCCCCGCGTCCGCCCCTGCCTCCGCGGAAGAATTTAGGCGGCGGACCGCTGTAACCGCCGATGCTGTGGCCGCGTGGCGGTCGTCTAGAGTCAAGTAAAGAGGTTTTCGGACGCTCGATGCCGAAACTGCCGGCGTGCAAGCGTAGGAGTTCTTTTATCACGGCTACCACCTGGAACAGAAAGAAAATCCGGTAATAATAAACAAGAATCGACCGATATGCACAAAGGGTACTATAAAAGTTTTGCAATATGACTTAAAAAACGGACGCAGGAGGCTGCATGTTACAGCATGTTGAGACATGTCCATGAGTGCATAGTAGCCGCCAGCAGCACGTCTGTTGATTTAGTTGTTCATTCGTATCGACAGTGTGAAGTGCGGACTATGGCATCGTGGTCAGGTAGTGAGATAAAGGCAGTTTTAGGGTATCACTTTACGCGTGCTTTAAACACAGACCAGTCTTTAGAAGAAATGACGCTTGCATTAAAGAATGATTGTCCTCACCATATTCAGGTGGTACAGAAAATTAAACAGGGGCAATTTCATTCTGTTGGAGGCTGAGAGGAAAGGAAGGCCGTGAACGTCAGTAACAGAGGAAAACATTACTGCTCTAAGGAAAATGCTTGACGAGGACCAGAGAGTCACATACCAACATATAGAGGAGACCTTACACCTTCATGCACCAGCAATTCATTCATTTCTGCATGACCATTTACACGTAAAGAAACTGTTTATCTCTAGGTACCACATAGTCTGACGAAAGAGCAGAAGACTTGCCGTACGACTTGGTGCCGAAAGATGCTGAAAATGTTTAATAAGGGGCAAACTCGGTATGTGAACAGCATCGTGACGGGTGGCGAGACTTGGCTCTGGTATTACGATGTGCCGACCATGGCTCAAAACAAAGTTTGGGTCTTTGATGATGAGGACACACTCGTAGCTGTCACAAAATCCCGATCTGTTAAGAAAAAAATGATAGTTGTATCCTTCAAATCGAGCGGGATTGTGAAGCGTGTCGTCTTGGACAGACAGAAGACAGTCATAGAGTCTGCGGCCAAAGTCAAGAATTGACACTGGGTACCTCCACCATAACGCTCCAGCTCACCACGCCAAAGTCTGCACCGATAATTTGACCACTACTGGACTGGAACTTATTGAGCACCCTCCTTAGAGTCCAGATCTTACTACCTGCGACTTTGCACTGTTTCTACATGTGAAAATGAGCCTGAAAGGAAAACGGTTTTCTAGCGATGAGGACTTCTGAGGGCTTGGGACAATGAGTGGGCCGCATTTCCGGGCGAAACTTGGCAAAGCTTCAAGTATCCATCACGTTTTGACGTCTACTGAGGTAACTGCTGATAAACAAGTGACATTTTTCTATTGGTCTGTAACGTTGCCAATAATGAATTGGGTATAAATCTAGTAAAACTTGCTTGTAGCGTTTTTTAATAAAGTAGATGTTAGCAAGTACAAAATGAATCTGGAGCGTACAAAAAACAAAACAAAATACTGCTATATCTACCTGGCATTGATGGATCCGTCAGAATATGTCTGTATGGAGAATTTTTAAATACTACGAGATAATCAGCTGTTATTCTACAGTAATGAATACTCATGAAAAAGTCAATGCATTGAACATTCAAAAATTCTGAAAATAGGTTAACGAGGTTAAAATTGAGTATAGAAAAACGTTGACACAAAATTCACACTTCACATGTCAAAATAGCATATATCCAGACTGTCAGACGTTCGAGTTTTTTTGTATATAAAATACCCAATAGCTCAACTACTAATAATCAAGACGAAGTACACATAAGTACCTTATGACGCTTCTAAATGGGCAATATTTTTCTAGCCCGCGTATACTTTTTTAAATTTACAAACTATGGGAATCCTGATTGTGTTGTAATGTAAGTAATGCAATCTGCCGCGATGCGTACAATTCTATCAGTCATTCTTGCTTGTTTATGTAGTTGTTCTGATAAAAAATTTCAACTAAGTACTAGTCAAGATATAGTCTAGATATAACTGCTGCATCCGAGATATATGAGTATAACCAGACCATAAATATTGCCCATTTGCCCATTATATCAATCTACTTTTAAAAGGGCATACTCGAATATGTAATGAAAACCAAGGCATTTGATTTAAAAAAAATCTATATGTGGGTCAAAATTGGAACACCCTGTATTATTGTGAATATTGATGTATCCCCAGATACCATATACAATCATCCATAAATGTTTTTTTTGGGAGCAAACCGAATGCAACTTCTAATTTTTGTTAAGCTAGGATTGCCTGTCAAAAATTTACCGTACGACAAAAATATACGTTGTCATTTGTGGCCAATTTTTCTATTGCAAATTACAATTGTAGGTTTACCAATAACCAAGATTCAACTCTCAAGAAGTATTTTTGAATAAGTTCGCCCTAAAAGAGTAAACTCCAATCAAAGGACCATCTATGGGCTAACTAGAAAGTTATAGCTAAACTGCAATGACTTAACTAACAGTTACATAAGTTGATATAAATAACATGACATGACAGAACACGACAGTTCACACATGAAACCAGCGTTACCGCATTAATAGTTATGACCTTGAAAATGGATTTACAGGGAAATGATAGCTAACTTTCCAAGCTATAGTTGTCTAACCTACGATTGAAAAACCCGGCATAAGTCAATTATGTAACAAAACCAAGTTAACGTCGCATCATGCAACCACTTTGTACGAGGAAAATCTACGAGTCTGATATTTGAACACTATGTTGTGCTAAACTTACAGAATGCCTCTAGCTGCTCAATCAAGAAGCAAAATGTTTGACTACACTACTTCTTACAATCCACGTGAAAAAAGTAATTATTCTTGAATTACGCAAAAATATTAGACATACTTAACTACCACGACTATTCTAGTGAAGCGCCAATGTAAGGCATTCAAAAAAAAAAACTTGCCTTCATATCTACTGGACCCATTTCCAAGATTTGTTCAGGCTCTTTGGATGCTCTAATCACAAGACTTTCCAACGCGGGTCTTAAACCCACAATCATCGATGCCACTTCAGGATCCATGTCCAAATTTATCCAGTTATCTAGCCTCACAACTCCATCTACCCAGTCAACTTTTCTTGAACCTAAAAGGAACAATACTTGTCAATTTTGTTGAGTTCGGAAAGAATTTTATCATCGTATACTTAACACAGAAAAATTAACCATGAGAACGTAATTCACAAACTAATAAACAACCATGACAATGGAAAACAGTTGACCACAACTTACCAAAAAGTAATAAATGCAGTGGTGTCACCATGGTCATCTGCTTACAAGAAACTGCTCTGGTTCTGATCTTCTCTCCAAACACGAAAAATGGATATGCAAAGCCTTGATCTAGATTGCTGCAGTTCACTGAAGTTTTGTGGATCAGGGCAGCCTTGCTTTCTGTAGTCAACACCTGGAAAAGAAATAAAAATGCAATTTACAGTGCTAAGCAAAAAGAAACATACAGCACCATACGTGTTACAAGTAACACTGTACTGGTGCTGGTTACGTGGTAAAGACACAAGGAGTCTTGTAGCTAGCCAGGAAGAAACGAGGTAGTGTTTTAATTTACATTCCCCATCAAACTTGAGTTGTATCATTGGTGACGATCAGTTGCACTTAGCTGCTAAGAGCTAACCAGTTGAAATAAATCATAGTCTAGTGTGCTAGATGTCATTTGAAGTGACTGCTTTGACAAATTTCAAAGCCATCACAAATCACGTAAATCCTAGTTGTCAACAGATTCAGTCAATAAAGAACAATACCAAATAATAGCCAGGCCATACTTTGTGCAGCACTAACTTTTAGAAGCTGAGTGCTACTGAGTGTAACCACTGATCAAACTATTTCACCAGAAATACACAATCCAAATGAAAGATGTGCTTGCGCGACGTACTGTGGCGCCGCCGACCACGTATGCATACACCTTTAACTTTTCTGAGAATGCAAAATCTTAGGATTAATTATTAAGTTGATTTAGAGTGACGTTTCCTTGATATGTTAATGTCAAATTTGAAAATAAACAAGTATATTTAAAAAGAAAATGTCTTGTGATTAGTGCATTCTATTAGCCTGACCTGTATTATGTAACAGAATCTTTCAACCTAATTTTCACCAATTACAAAAAGCCTAATTAACCTGAAAATTTGCACAGTGGTCAAGGAGAAGAAGAATTTAAAAAATTCTTCAATAAATATATTTTGAAATTGATTTTAAAATTGGAAAAATAAATGGAAAATTCAGAAACTTGGAAAAAATAAGTTTATTGTACCCAAAAATAACCGGAATAGCATTGCAGTGGATGGAGCTTGTGTAGATGCGTACAGTGCAACTCATTACCACTTTAGTGCCACCTGAGTTGTGGATCTGGCTTGTTTCGTTCCTCTGTAGTCATTATTTTTGCTAGAGCTGTTTAGTGCTTGTTTCGTTTTTTACGATGGCAAGCTTCAGTGAGCAACGTGCAGCTGTGAAATTTTGCTTTCAAATTGGTAAAAATGCTGCTGAAACTGTTTTAATGTTGAAAATAGCTTACAAAGACGATGCTATGGGAAAAACTCAGGTGTACGAGTGGTTTGCTCGATTTAAAAATGGCGGCATGTCGATTGATGACAAACCTCGCTCTGGACGTCCATCAACTGCCCGAATCGACGAAAATATTGAAAAAATTCAAGAGCTTGTGCTATTTGGAGGTTTTACGACGATTGCGAAACAGTGTTTGGCAAAAAAGCCATCTATGTTCGACAGTTTCTGGCTGTCCCGCTGCCTCACGCACCTTATTCGCCTGACCTGGCTCCGTGCGACTATTTATTTCCACGGATGAAAAGGGTCATGAAAGGACGCCGCTTTGGCGACATTGAAGAGGTCAAGAAACAAAACAGGGAGTAGCTGTCAGACATTTCTAAGGAAGACTTCAAAACATGTTTCGAGCAGTGGAAGCACCGGTGGGACAAGTGTATTAGTTGTAGTAGACAGCATTTTGAAGCAGATAAGGTTACTTTGTGGAAAATTTGAAAATAAACAGCTTTTAAAAAATAATTCCTTTTTTTTGGTACCCCCTCATATATACCAAAAATTGATGTTCTTAATAATAAGTATTTTTGTTGTTTTGAAACCAAAAATCATAAATAGAATTATAGTTTAACAAACTAAAAAAAAACACGCTTTAATAGCAAATCGGACTAAAAAGTAGAAAATAATTTTCAACTATAGAATATATAGAATTTGCGATACTGCAATACAAGTTCAACAATCAAGTATGTCTAATGAATTTGGAATAAGATCAATATAAAAATTAAGATATATTAATTTTTTAGTAATTATTACAAAACTAAAATTATGAAACTATGGTTAATTGTACCCAACGCTTTTTTACTGTACTTGAATGTTTTGTTAGCATCTTATTATATTATCATTAGCCCTACAACAGGAGGAAAAGCCGATAACACTGTTCTTTTTTATGCTGGTTAGTGTGGAAAACGTGCTGCTCTAACTTCTAGTTCCTTATCCTGCTTATCCTTGAATTGTTACACCGTTTACTCACTAAGAGAGTTCCAAGAGTATACCACATGATTTGAAATGAAATTTCTCCTTATCAACTTAGATGTTCTTCCCTTTTCCAATTTTCTGGTATGCTCTTGGAGATGAAGATTCTGAGTCATATTGATTATTTGAATGGTACATGAGCACCAGCTTGATCTTGAATGTCTCATTCAGGTCCCCTCGTAATCTTCGCCCAGCAAGTCTTGTCAAATTCATAGCCATTAGACGTTGTTCTAATGGCATACGAGGGATGTCTTTGAAGTTTTGCATATGGAAATCGAACAACACGGAGGTGGTTTTAAATGACTTTATTGTTTTTCGAAGTATTCTCCACGAAGATTAATACACATCTGCGTGCGCTCGAACCAATTTTCGAAGCACTTATTCCACTCGTTAACGGCGAAAATTTATCGAACACTTTTTCGTAATCAAGCTATATTATGCCTCCGGGAATTCCTTCGTCATCCAATGCTGTCCATTGTAAAGCAGTGAGCAAGTTGATAATTACAGATCTGCCAGGTACAAACACCATGCTCTGTGTGTCTGGTATGATTAAGAATTGTGTGAGTTCCCGCGCTGATTTTTTCTATGAGTTTACAAGGATCACAAGTAAGGCTTATAGGTCTGTAGTTTTCTGCCAGACATCTATCACCTTTTTTGTATGTTGGTAGTATATAGGAGTAAAAGCAGGCTTTGAGAATATTTTTTTTGTCGAGTACTTCAGTCATAGCATCAGCTAGTGTATTATATAAAGTGGATTCACATTTTTTAGAAATATTGATGGAATATTGTCCAACCAGGGCTCGAATCTTGCTTTGGAGACTGAAGAGCTTGTAATTATTTTTCTGGTGTAAACTAAATGGAAGTATGTAAGTGATTCATAGCGACGGGTGTGAAAAAGCAAGGAAGAGACATCTTGCTGTGACTTGGTGAAAACCATGTTGATCTGCTTTGCAATTTTTATTCTGATCTTGTTCCAATATAATAAATTAGTCATACTTGATTGTTGGACTTTCTATTTCAGTAACACACATTCTCCTATACTTGAAAATAATTTTCTACTTTTAATTCGATTTGCTATTAAAGCGTGATTTTAGTGTTTTAAATTATAATTTACATTATTTCTTGTAAGGGAATTACTGCTATCCTACTTGGCAACATTGTTGAGACTATAGAAATTTTGAGTGGATGTCCAAATACGGCATACAGTTGGGCATATTCTTGGAGAATATATTAATCAATGGTCATATCTAAGTCAAAACACGTAACGATTACCTACCTTCCTCTTTTCCTTATGATAGCAAACGTTCGGGTAGAGACCATAGCACATAAGGCTCACGACACAATCCAGCCTTGGATCTGGTCCCACAGTTTCCATGGGAACGGGAGCTAGAGTTTCCTCCGGGAAGCCTACGCCGACGAGAATCTGTTGCAGCTGGTGTTTGGCTTCCCAGGTGACCCTCATAGTGGGCATGCTGATGCCTTTGAAGTCGCAGAAACGCTGTTCGGCTTCTTCACCACCTTGACGGGCGTGATCCCACAGCTGAAAAAATTAATTTCGTTTAAAAACAATACATATTCTTTAATTTAGCATGTATGCATAAGCAAATTCTTAGAAACATTGTAAGTAGATGGAAATCTAACGATCGCCACCTACCAATGGTTTCTAAAAGCTGATTTTTACATTTGAAAACATTGACAACTGTATTAGCCATGAAGTGATTATAACTCAAGAAATAGAAATAAAAATCTTCTGTATCCAGTCCATCATCTCACAGTTACCGGAAAAATGTCTATTATAGCTGTACTAAAATATACAATAAGTTACCTCAAGAAATTAAAAGGTTGCGAATATAGGAGAATTTAATTATTAATGCACCACATGACATCCAAGAATTATTCTAAAATGTAAAATCTTTATGTGTTTGTCTCTTTTGTTTTAGTTTTTTTGCTTTGTTGCAGTTGTTTTTTTTTTGTATGTTGATGCTGTGACGTAAATTTCACCTAACAGTGTATAATACTAATACTAATGCACTGTTAGTTTGAGATAAAGATTTGTTATTATCAATTATTTAATTTTCTTCATCATCCACCTACCATGAACACGATACAGATGCCCTTACACACTCTAGCTCGTACCGCTCGAAGTTCTACGGTAAGGGCAGATGTCGCACTGCACCAACATGTTGAACGTGTCAAGTGGTCGGAATACCAATACAAGGAGTGCAAACCACCAATGGCTTTTCTATGCATATATGCATCATAGACACATCTGTTTGCTTTCCGTCTCCTTTAACCATGACCAACTGCATACAGTGCTGTTACTTGCTCATCACCAACTCATCAATGCGGTATGTCTTAGGTCTTGTTGTGGAGACAGACGAAACGCAAAGTCAATTGAGTCATTTGAGAACTCGAAACACTGTGTACAAGTAGATGGACATCTGACGATAGCCACCTACCAGTGGTTTTGCCAAGATGATTTTTATCATCGTCCAGATACGATAGAGATGCACTTACGCACACTAGCTCGTACTGCTCTGTCATGTTCATCACACTTGTGCACAATGTTCCGAATTTTTCAAATGACCACATCCACTTGTTTGCTTTCCTCAACTAGCCCTAAGACCTATACCGCACTGGGTCACGAGCCAAAATCAAGTAACCATTTTTTTTACTATTTTGATCACTAGTAATTTGAATTTCTCCTTATCAATGGTAGGGTCCCGTTTCCTAGGCCAAACCCTTTTTAATGATTTTCTTTTGGCAAATTGCATAGTTGATTGATTTTATAATTTCACACGTATTATATCTTTCTTTCTCTGCGATTCAGTATTGTGTTGAAATCTTTTGGACACTAATGTTATACGAGTAGTATTATTAACGACTATCTCAGAAAGTTCCTGATGAAATATCGTTGGTCCCTCGTAGAGTTGGTTCTGCCCATTGGCAACCAGCGCCACCTTGTGGTTTCTGCACGTACTAGCCCTATAGGAATATTATGCTTTCCTCTCAAGATACCTTCTTTCAAAAATCTGTACGGAATATTTGATTTCCTATCAAGATACCTTGTTTTAAAAACTTGCGTGTACAGACATGGCGAACGCCATTTTCTTTTCTTCTTTCCGTTGAGTTTTGGTTGTGCGTGGGTCGTTGGTAATAATTTCCAGATTCTGAAATATTAACGCCCAAAACACCAGATTATGGAGTAGCATCCTTTATTTTGTACCTTACGTCTAGATGTTTTGATTTGGGTGCTACCACGTCCATTTTCTAATGGGATTTTAATCTTCAGCAGTAAGTTCTTTTTTGTATACCATCGGACCACGTCCATTAATGCATGTCCTGAAGAAGTTTATTCAATATCTGCTTCCTTTTAGTGGGAGGGCATTGCGGAAAATCCCCTTTCACACTCCTCCAGCTTTGTTTTGTAGCTGCCTTGTAGCTGTTTCGCAGCCGTATTTGCTCTAAGCCTCCCTTCCCCTTGACAAAAAACCCTGTTGTGAACAGGTAAAATATCATTTTAAATGGGTATTTTATAGATATTGATATTAATTATTGCTGACTGAAATTCTTAGTGTTCTTGATTTTGTTTGGCATTTTTTCATATTCAAATATAGGTTAGTGCCTACTGGTCACCTTCTTTTTAGCTTACTACATTACATTGATCATGATTTTGATTTGTGAGCTGCCATAACATTATTTTAGGACAAGGGATGACTTTCTGAGGGTATATCACTTTAGTACATTTTTATTTTTTCTTGCTCTTGCTTTGCTTTTCTTGTAAAAGAGAATGTAGATGGTTTTTCTTCAAGTTTCGAGTGTTTAAATGAGCAGTTCTGTCTCAGACAGAGAATAGAGTAGGTTTTTAAGCAGTTTTTCTCTCTCTAGGGTTTTTTTAAACCGTAAATTTAAGGAACGAGGCAAGCAGCCCATACCTTGTGACATGCCCACTAGTGCCCAGTAGTGGTACCATGGTAAACGTATTGCACGGTTAATTATCACGGTCTAATAATTTTATTGTCAGGTAGTTTTGAATAATATCCTTTCTTTTAACTTGCACTCCAGTGGTGGAGCATATCGTCGTCCATACCGCAGACAGGCGTATCTGACAAAAAATCAAATTCGAGTTAACGGATTCAAATCAACAAGGTATAGCATACCTACAATCCCGCAAAGTGGCGTTACTCTAAGTAGTTCGCTCATAGAGATATCAGCATAAAACTAAACGTCGTATCTCTCAGAAATGAAATACAATACACCGCAAATAGGCGTAAATGAAGATACGCCTACATGCGGTGTCCATTTTTTGCTACTCTCTCAGTGGTAACTAAGATATGTCCTTTTGACTTACAGAATACATATGATGTTTTGTCCGAATTGAGTCACACCTCATCTGAAAGCGATTCCTTTGCTGCAGTCGAGATTTATAATCCGGAAGATCCGGACTATCATCAAACTTTTGAAGTTAAAAGCTGTAAAGGAGATGTGTTCACTTCCTGCTTTCAATGCTAAATTTTGCTATGTTGGAAGCATTTTGAAGATGATACCCTATCCTGCCAGGACGGACACAGGACAGTACAGAGCAGTGTACTTAGCAAAAAGAAACAGGAAGAGAGGCGCCCTGAAGATTTTTTTGTAGAAGTTTCCCAGGCAGAAGGTGATAGGAAAAAAAGTCAGAGAAGATAAGAGAAGAATTGCAAAAACGTTGAGGAATCAAGGCGAAACATATATTTCGCCTGTAACTAAGAAAATTGTGAAGGAGAAAGCACTTAAGGGAATCTGCAATATAGAAATGTGTAAGAAAAGAAAAGAAAAATGATGTCCTTTAAGAACAATGATATTCTCACAGTTTTATAGTCTTGGTGACCTCCATCAACAAAGAGAGTATATAGCACGTTTTGTATTATCTGAAAACCCAAAACATAGAACTACAAATAGCAATAATCCATGCCGTAAGCAAACACATTATTTTTTCTTACCTCTAGAAGGTATCCGACAATTAGTTAGTAAAAAAATGTTCCATGGGAGCCTTGGGATAAGTGAGAAAGTTTGCAGAACCGCAATAAAGAAATTGAATAGAACAACGAGTGTGCTACAAAAAGAAAATCGTGGAGGTCGACGGGAGTTACAATCATCAAGAGACATAGTCATTAGAAAAAGTATTATAGAGCACATAAATAGGTTCCCCAGAGTAGAGTCACATTACTGCCGGAAGTCCTCAACTAAACAATACATAAATGAAGATTTATCTCTGAGTACGATGTATCACATGTACAAACTGGAAGACCAACAAACAAAGGGAAGTTTTCTTTGTATAGAAAAATTTTCAGATCCATGAACCTCTCATTTCACAAACCAAAAAAAGATCAATGTGGTCTTTGCAAGTGTTAAAGAGAAGGATCGGAAGAAGTAAAGGCTAATTTGGAAAAGGAGTACTTGGCCCATATTTTAGAAAAGGAAACGGTAAGAGAAATAAAGAATAGCTGCAAAGAAAAAGCTAAAAATGATACAAAGTCTATATGTGCTACATTTGCTCTCCAACAAGTTATATACTTACCAATTTCTAATCATTGTTCTGTATTTTATAAAACACGGCTTGCTGTCTACAATCTAACTATGTATGAAGTAGCATCTCGAGAATGTTTTTGTTGTACATGGAGTGAGACTGAAAGTAAACGTGGTAGCTCGGAAATATCGACTGCTGTTTATTTATTAATTTCCGAAAAAGACAAAAAGACAAACAAGGCTACAATACTGTTGACTTATTTGCTGATGGTTGTAGTGGCCAAAATAAGAACTCGATAATGGCTACCACTCTTTTATATCTCGTCAGTAATTGCTCAAACGTTAAAGAGATATCGTTAAAATTTTTTGCCTGTCATGGACAAAATGAAGGCGATTCAGCACATAGTGCAATAGTTACGCTTTGAAAAATGCAGGTGAAATTATTGTGCCGAGCCAGTTATTGCTAGTCTATGCATTAGCAAGGAAGAAACAGCCATATAAGGTTCGTCCCTTAGACTATCGTAATTTTTTTGACATCAAAAAACTCGCATCAGACTTAAGAGTATTATCTATTCGAAAAGATGATAAAGACATGGATGTGAATTGGAAAAATATGATGGAATTCAAAGTGACAAGTGATAATTGCAACAAAATCTATTTCAAGACTAGCCATAAGCAAACAGACTACAGGTCCATAACCTTGAAAAGAAATGTTTCCGATATTTTAAAAAAAGAGCAGTCTCCTCTGAATAGCGACCTATGAAAAATCACAAATAAAAAATATAACGATTTGACCTCACTTTGCCAAGGCGATAGGCCTACCATCACTCTACCAGAACATCAACGTTTTTATGATTCACTACCTCATGAGGACCAGCCATAGATGTTTTTGTTTGAAATCATCTTCTTATTTTTGTTCTGTATTATCCTTGAGTTGCTTGAGTATTATTTACATCTGAGAGTAAAGTGTTTTTTTATTTAATCTAATTTTATTCCATATGGAGTGAAAGGCGTATCTTCAAACCGCTAAACTATTGTAATTGTCAAGGTTACCGCAAAGAGGCGTATCTGGAAAAAAAAATAAAAAACATGTTTAGCTGAGAATATGAATTTCCTTTCCTCTATATACTTCTCAGAAGATGATGAACACACTTTTTAGCTATGTTATTGGAAGAAATTATGCGCATATTGTCTAAATTAGTAAAGATATATGAAATCAAATAACTGTCGATATTCATTTTGCTTCTACTGAAAATTTATATAAAATCAGTTACGCCTGGTTGCGGTACGGACGACGATATGTGCTGCTTGTTTTGATAATATATTGTGATTCTTTTTTTAAATATTTTGTTTTATTTGGCTCTCTGTGTACATTTTATTAGGCTTCGTCATTACTGTTAGATTCTTTTCTTTTGTGTGGTGGTCAAGCAAAACAAGTTACGACTAACATCTACGGGATGTGTGGCTTAATCTGTCTTAAGTCACTGACACTCTTAACCCCCCTCTCTCCGCTTTATTGAGCTAGGGCCTAAATTTGCACGCCACTTATTAATTAATTTAAAAAAAAAGAAAGAGGAATCACACCACCATTTCCTCTTGTTTATAAAAAAGGGGTTGCAACTGATGATTAGCATGAAACAGTCTGTCTACACTTGGTCACCATTACAGGACTTGGAAAGGAAACATGTTATTTTCAATCAAATTCTTAGAAGCATCCTACTGTTTCTATTGATCCGAAGTCGACGATCAAAATTTACGAGTTAAACGATATACTTGCCTCAAAAGCAGTGAGCATTGCAACATGATCGGAATGTCTGTCACCAGCTAAAGCTCTCTGGTGACCACTGAGCCTCCTTTGGCCCATATCCAGCTGAAATATCTCTGGGAATGTAGAAGAATTTGCGGCCATGGTAGCCAATGGGCCACCAACCATAAAAATGCAGCCAAGGATCATCATTTTACCTGTAAATAAAGAAAATTCCATAACAATACCGCCTAAAAAAATGCCTACATAAACACAGCAGAAACTAAATATGTGAAATTTTGGCGATGCTGCCAGTAATAATAATAATAATAAAATAATAAAGCATTTATTGCCCAACAGTACAGGTACCACTTAGAGAGCAATACATAGTACAATGGTTCAATTTACACAGTCTGTGTGTCATAAAGTGAAACAAAAAAAAACACAGAAAAGAGGAAGGCGCTTTAAGTAGAGAAAAAAGAAACTATAAATATGATCAATAGATATTAGGAAACCAGAATATACTCGTATATACATAAATGTCCATATACACATACATACACATATATACATATAATATATATATATATATATATATATATATAACGAAAACCCATAGAGAACGGCGTAAAAAAGTCAAAGATGTGAACGTATAGCACTTCGTAATTCCTGAAATCCACAACAGAAGATATCACAAAAACTCACAATCCTATTCGCATTATTGCACATAAAGTTTATTGGTGCTTTAGATAGAAGATTTGTCTGCGCCATCTTGCAGTAAAAGGAAACTTTATATTTAGATGTCAATCTGGGTACCAGGAAATTAATTTGCGATAGCAAAACAGGACAGTCGATGTTACCATGCAGTAATTTGTATAAAAATATGATGGACGCCTGCTCTCTGCGCTTTTCCAAAGGGACGCCAAATCTATTCAATAATTGTAGTCACATCCTCTTGGAGGATAGACACCATCACTCCTATAGCATAGATATTTTAGAAATTTCTGTTGCACTTTTTCAACATTATTTTTGTACAGTTTATAGATAGGACTCCAAATAATTGCACCGTATTCTAATTTACTTATAACAAGCACTGAAAATAACTTAATAAGCGTTGTGCAATTTCTACAATTTCTGATAATAAAGCCATATTTACGATACGCATTACTTATAATTTCACTGATGTGGTATACTACAACTATTTAAAACTGTAATGACTCATACGCGTGATCAACACGTGATCAGAGCTCGATCCCGGCTTCCTTCCAGTACAGCCGTATAGCGTACGACATATGCCGTTTCTGTGGCTTTGCGGTGGTCAACAGCACAGACAGAGATGGAAATAATGGCTGATTGTTCTCCGCCGGTGGAACCAATGAAATCAAAGACGCGCCTCGACCGGCAGACTCATAGGCGTCGGCAACGCATTGGAACGTCTTTCGTTGAGCGATCGCATATTGTGTGTTTTTATAAGAATTGTTGTGTGATTGTTATTGTTGTGGTTTCTGTGGTTACTGTTTTGGTTATACTTAACCTTGGAGAGTACAAATGGCACGAGTGGAAGTACTGAAAGCCAGGGAACAAGTAGACGGCTTCGTAAAGCACTGAAGAGGGACGCGAAAGAAATCGTGCTCAACGTGTTCAATTATCTGAACAGAACTATGTCGCAGGGAGATGCACTCGCGCGTTGTGAAAGTATGACAGGCGTTCCAGAGTGGACCATTCGTAGGGTGGTGCATGAAAAGAATAAAACTGGAGCTACTACTGATACAAAGTTAAAAACAGATTAAAAATTATTTTTTTTTAAATAATTTTTAATCTGTTTTTAACTTGTTCTTGTCATATTTTATATAATTTTGACCATTGTACCATCTATCCAGCTGTCACCATGTTACTGGACGTTTCCCTCATCCTATACGTAAACAACAATTAGCAACATCCTCACATACTACTCTCCTGATGATGATGGCAAAGTCCATTGAAAGCTAGAGAGAATTAAAAAAGTATAAAGAGTCCTCTTTGCTTAAATTTTGTCGAAGTACCCAACAAAAGGCGGAAGCTTTAATTTTTCACCTAACTGGTCTAGACGACAATGACCACGTCTCAAGTTATATATATATATATATATTGTGATATTGTTGGTGATATGGTTAGATACGTACCCAATCTTGGTTCAATCGGCAGCTTGGCAATGATCCTTCCCAATGGAGTTAGCTCATCGTTCTTGTCCAGACACTTCATCTCTCTAAGTAACACCTCTGCCTCAATCACAGCATCCAATGGTGGAGGCTCTATGGCCTTACTCAAAAAGTGACCAATCGAACCGAGTCTCAGCAATTTTATGCTCAAGGCCAATTCATGTAGAGGTGTTCTGAACATTTCTGGTGTCATGTGCTCGTCCAGTTTATCAAATCTAGAACAATAAGATTAGTATTTCCACTGTGCATCACATTATTTTAGACATCATATGGGCAAAAATAAAATTCCATGATCTGGGATGGCGGGTCATATCTCAATTTTGGCTCAATTATTTTTTTTTCCTGTGAAGAATGCCTATGGAGGCATAAGGCTTTGCAAAATTTCAGAGCACTACATCGAACGGTTCGGTCTGTTGCCTCGCTCAAAGTTTGGAGGTTTAGCAAAAATGTGAATTTTAGCGTTTTGACATTTCCATTTTCTCACTATTTCTGTCATTGGAAAGCATTAGGCCCCATAATACATTGCTATTCTGGAGTAGAATTGTCCAAAGAATGCAAAAATTACCTCCAAATTGCGATATGATAATTCATTCAGCAGATATTTCAAACGTCATTTTTTCGAAATTTTTCACTGGTTTATTGGGCTGACATACGATATAGAATGCCTTCCGAAACGAAAAATTCACTTGATTAAATTGTTTCGTAAAGGAGATGGAGCGGCCTATCCCGCTATACAAATATAATTTTGTACTAGGGCCTTTAAATTGGGTAGACCTTTGATCCAATTTTCTATATTTTGAACCAAAATTGGTCATTTTCATGATACTGGAGGGCGGGTTGATTTTGTTTTCTGAAGAGGAGGTATGACCCCGTTAAAGTGAAATTCGTAGGTCAAACGGTTTGCTCTGGAGATTCGTAAAAAAATATGAATTTTAGACACGTTCTAAGTTTTAAGGTTAAGAAAAAGATGATAATATTAGCCTTTTTGACATTTCCATTTTCTCGCTACTTATACCGTTGGAAAGTATTAGGTCCCGCAATATGTGAATATTTGCCTGAACGATTTAAAAATCATTATTCAAATTCTCTGAAAATAAAAACACGCGTTTTTTTTTAAATACCACAGTTTTTGTAATGACAAAAGTATGGAAACATTTCAGTTCTGCCGTGTTTATTCGTTCTGCGATACTCTGATATTGCGTGCGGTAAATATTAACATCAGTGAGAATGACAAACGTAACAGGATTTTCAAAAGATTTAAGAGACAAAGTAATTGAAGACCGAAAAAAACCGATTATGTTTTGGATCGCTACATTAAACGTTTGTCCCATAAAAATCCTCGAATGTCAGCCACACAGATTTTCAAAAGAATCGTAGAAGAGGGTGCCGAGAATATTTGTCAGAACAGTGCAGAGACGATTGGTGAATTTTGGGCTTTTTGGTAGGTGTCCAGTGCAAAAGACTCTCATTTCAAAAAAAAAATCGTACAGTTCGGTTTGAATTTTCTAAAACTCATCTAACTTGGACTTGTTGGAAAAATGGATCAAAAACTTTACAAAGATATTCTTAGTGAACACATGCTCACCTTTTTTTGAAGAAGAAATGCCTTTACGATGGACATTCCAGCAAGTTAATGACCCGAAGCTACCTCAAAATTCGTAAAGGACTGGGTAAGACTAAAAAATATTAATGTTCTTACATGGCATTCGCAATCCCCGGACCTAAATCCTATAGGACATCTCTGGGAGCATGTTGAAAGACAACAGATAAAAGTAGGAACGATTGATTTGATTATGTAATAAATATTTGGCAAAATATCCCAACAGACGTCTGTAAAACATTGGTGTCTTCTATGAGCAGCATATGTCAGGCAGTGTTGAATGCTACCAAATATTTGCTAAACAGTATTTTTAAATATTTTTGTAGAGTTATTGTATTTAATTTTGTAATAAAAAATATGTATCCATACTTTTGTCGTCTGATTTTGTCATTTGTATCCTCAAGACTGTAAGCAAACTATATGAGAAAAAAGTAGTCCTTAATGATAAAGAATAAAAAATTTGCGCAGTTTTTAAAAACTACTAAGAATGTTTCCAAACTGATGTCTGCTACCGTATATCACCGACGGCCCGCCGGTGAGAAAGGGTCCAGAGACTATCTGTTAGAGAACAGTCATGGATCAGTCGGACAGCCCAGCATTGAGGATGAATAATGTAGTAGGGGCGGCAGCACCTCAAACATGTGAGCAATACTCGAGGCTAGGTCTTATCTGGGCCTTGTATAGGGTGAAGAGGTCATGCAGAGAAAAGTACTTCTTAGCCCTAGCTTTTTCTCAGCAGCTACCGCATATTGACGAGATGTCTTCGTGCCAAATTAAGTCCTTAGTGATCTGATGAACGGCTCTCTGACAGAACTCGGTCATCCATTGAAACCGGATGAACGCTATTACGCATTTGATGTTATTGGAGATTGATCTAATTGAAGAGGATAGCCGTCTAATAAACAAATCAAAACATTACTAATACAGCTTTTGAGAGAGAGATTCACAAAAAAAAACTAATAGTTGAGAATACGCAGTGTCCATGATAAGTATTACGATCGCAAAGGCGATTAGAGCCACAAGGATGTAGTAACATTAAGGCTAGCTAACCAACCGCTTTCTTTTGTAATCTGAAAATATTTGTAAGGTTGGTGAAATTAGGAAAAAGTTCCATAATATAAATACATTCTACGCACGGTTTACGAAATTGGGCTGTATTCTCCTAGTTTTGAGTTAATTGGAAAGAATTACAAATTATGCAAATTTTCAAATCTTTGAAATAACTCAAAATCGGAACATGGTAGCCAAATTCTATAAACTGCATGTGAAAGGTGCTATTACGCAACTTTTTCCTCATTTAACCAACATTATAGATCTAAGCATTTTTGAAATTGTGTTCCTCACCTTGGGCACACTGTATGCTCAGTCTCATGCCACCAGAAAAATTTGAGCCAGATATGAGCTATGACCCCAGCAGAGGTATTATGTAACTTGAAAAGTGGCATGTAATTTTTTTACATTATGTAAGTATTTTATGACATTTTGCCAGTATCTTTAAAAAACGTCGACTAGGAACAACCTGTCATTCACTTCATGCTCACTTGTAGCAGGCGCAGAATGAACTATTTGCACACACCAGCTATCTAGTCAACTAGTTGACGTTTTATCAGTTTTTTTTGATATCACATAGGTTTTTTACGTGATAACCCTGCCGTCCTCCGGCTTCATGAAAATGGCCAATTTTGATCCAAAATGTCGAAAATCAGATCCAAAGGCGTATCCGATCTATATAAAGACCCAAGTACAAAATTCCAATTATATAGGCGGTTAGGCTGATCCATCTCATTCAAATTGCCAGTACAATAAACCTGTGAAAAATATCGAAAAAATCGCGTCTGCCAAATATCTGGCTTTCTGCCTTTCTTAGATTTCTTCTTGACTTCAAAATAGTCATATATTATAGGGCCCAATGCTTTCCAATTACCAGAGTTGCGAGAAGATGGAAGTTGCCGAAACGGTAAAAACATTTTTACCGAACTTTGAGCGCGCGTCCAGACAACCGTTCGGCCTATGACCCTGAAATTTTACAAAACCTCATGCCTCCATCGATACTTTCCAGGAGAGAATTTGCCCGATCTGAGATTGACCAGCCAAGCCAGGTCGTGAACTTTTAGTTTTGACCCACATGCATAGTATCATAACTACTCGATCCACAATACACTACATACCTAGCTTTGGAACACAAATGGAAGCATATTCCAGGTCTAACTCTACCAGCTCTACCCTTTCTTTGTTCCAAATTTGTCCTAGAAGCCCATGCAGTTACGTAACTTGTCATGTTGTTGTGAGATGTGAACATCTTCAACTTGGCCTTGCAACTGTCAATTACGAATACTACATCATTGATTGTTATAGATGTTTCTGCAATGTTGGTAGCCAGGATGACCTTGGTAACGTGTGATGGCACCGGTTGAAAAACCTAGAAGAAAAAATACTTAACAAAATAGATACAGATAAACCAAAGATGTAAAATAATGCGAATGCTGCCAAAAATAGACTATACGCATTGGGAAAGAATACTAATAAAGTGAATGCTGCCAAAAATAGACTATAAGCATTGGGAAAAAATACTATCTTTTCTACCTTGAGCTTTTGCGAATATTCATTAGATGTTAAATATTGGGGATGCTGTCAATAGCAGAAAATTTCTTGGCATTATACAAAAAATACTTTTTTCTACTTTGAGCTTTCTTCCATACAAAAGTATGGAAAATCCAAAAGTGCACGTCACAAGGTTTTTTCAAGTAATAAATTAGAAAATTCTCTATATTATATAATCAATTGATTAAGAATTTGTCATTTTTGTCGTTTCTGCTCATTCGTTTCTGGCAACATTAGCTGGTGTTAATCTGCTATCTTAGGGAGTCCCCTGTCAAAAATGGGACATAGCACAAGACTTCCCATTATTAGAGAGCTAATTAAAGTATTGCAGGCAGAGGCAGAATCGCTTCATGCCCTTATATTGATTGAGAGATTCTGTGATAAGCAATATGGATTCGAGATTTATATCTTTAAATCAACATTTTGGTTTTATGTATGACTTAAACAAGTTAAAAATATTCCAAAAGAGTAAATAATGAAAAACTGCGAGTAGGTAATTATATGAATAATTACAAAATATGATCCCAAATTTACCCAACTCCATTACAGACATGAAACATCTGCTCCAATATATCATAGCAACCTGAATGAAATTTACCCATATTCACATTGGTATACCTGGTTCTGATGAAAGCTTTTCAAAAGAAAACTAATATAATAATTAAGAAATATAATAGGTCAGAAAGAACTTTCAGCATTGGCAGTTTTATGTATTGAAGATAGCATCCAAGATAAATTATGAACTAATCATTAAGGAGTTTGGCATAACTAAGGGTATAGAATTTCTGTTTCTTTATTTTTTCTTTCATTTTTGTTTAATAAGCCAAACAGGTATAAGTAAAATGATTAGTTTGTTTATGCATAAAAATCTGTCAATTTGGAGTGTTTTTCATTTTATTGGGCCCAACTGCGTCATCAGAGGGCCTCGCCTTGCCCACATTAAATTTGCCAATTTTAGGTCTCGTGCTGCCACTGCATACATATATTCTTTATTAATAAAAAAAAATCAAATATACTTGTTCGCATCTGCTGCGGGTTATCCATTATACATGGTTGAATAATTTATAACAAAAATACATTTCACAAAAATAACACATACCTTGCGTTGGTCCTCTCTGGGGATCTGTGAATGGAGTGGTAGGATGCTGTACTGAGTTCCACCAAACACTGGATGATTCTGGAGATGTTTCATCATGGCAAATATGAGATTCCAACCTGGAAGGAACACCAACACGGCGCCTGGAGTACCGGTGCCTTTAATGTACTGCAGAAGAGCTTCAATCAGCTCAAAGCTGACCTCCTTTTCGCTCATACGGGACATCGCGTTCTTCGTCACTTCAGAATATTGATTAGAAACCACCTACAAAAGACATAATTGATTTGCAGTAACATGCATTCAATTACCGATATTTAAAAAATAGCAGTTGAATTATAGAATATAAAAATATGTAGCAGTAAAAGTAATATACTCGTATTATTCGACACAAAAACTGACCTTATTCAGATCCTCATCCGGCTCGTCACCACCACCAATGCCCTCATCTTCGTCATCATCCTTGTTGCTACTCCTATTCTTCCTCTTCCTGGTATCACTAGGCGGTACAAACTTCGTCATCTCGACCGCATCCTCGAGGAAGTACTGCTTGACAGGGAACGCCCTTCCGGGTATCTCAATCACTGGGCAATCGTTGAAGTATTTCGAGAACAGCGTCGTGTCGATGGTAGCTGACATGAGAATTACTCGAAGGTCTGGATATGTGTGGATCATATCTCTCAGCACCACCTAAGAAAAAACGAAACGAGATATCAACCGTTACCATACATCTAAACAAAAAGGTACTCGATTATGGAGCCTCTCGAGCAATATTTTTGTTATAGCCTAGCCATCATGAACATATTGCAGCATATGGCCCAGCTATATGTCTTGACTAAGCTGTCAGCAATGCGTAGACACGTACACTTGTCCGAATTTATCAGACTAGATATAAGAACAGGCAGGAATGGCTGACGAAATCGCTGTTTTGTTCCAATGATACGGGGCGACAAAGCATAATAAAACATATGGAAATGATTGAGATTGCTTGAAGAAGACCTTGCTTATCAACTGCTTGATCTATAAACTCAAACATCCTAGATTCCAAGTCCTTGAAGCAACAACTTCATCAGAACCATAGGAACCACTTTTACTTGCATTTAACTTGTACACAGTTATGTTGTATTTCCAAGATCTCTCTTTTGTATGTATGTATATACATACTATAAAATTTCAAACTTACCATGATAAAGTCACTGTTGACATCTCTCTCGTGGATCTCGTCCACAATGACATGGCTGACACCCCTAAGGCCATTCTCCAGCTTCTTTAGCAGCACTCCCACAGTACAGAACATGACTGAGCCATAAGGCTTGGGCAGAATGGACTCGAATCGCACGGAATACCCGAAGGACTGGCCCAACTCTTCGCAACGTTCCTGTGCAACACGTTCGGAAACTGACACGGCAGAGATTCTTCTAGGTTGGGTGACGCAGATGTTACACCAGGCACCTTGGCCTGACATCACGTAGTCTTCCAGGATAAACTGGCACACTTGTGTGGTCTTACCTGTAGAAAAAAGTGTAATAGTCCACTTAAGCTGAACGGAAGTTTGAAAAAATTTCCGTCATTTCTAAGCTACTATTTGAAGATCTGGATAAACCATTGCACCAACTCTGGACATAAAATTGCAAAAATTTGAGCAACTTCAATTTTTTGCAATCTTAGGAAGATTGGTGGACTAAAATGAACGTATGTGATGATAAGGTGGAAGACAGATTGATAGGGGAAAATAAGTGACATAATTTTTCTTACATTTCATATATCACTCTAAATTATAAAAGAATTATACTGACAAGTGATGTTTTCAACAACACAGAAAACCCGACTGCATTAACTGAAAAGAACGTAGCTGTAATTATGATATTAAAAGTCAAAATCAAAGTCGTTACATTTTGGTCAGACAGGACATTGAGGATTTCCACGCCGGACGAATTCGAATGTCGAATTCGATTAAGCCTATATTTCAAATTCATAAAATGTTCATATACCCAGTGTTGACAACTCTTATGTTAAAATCCATTCAGCCATTTAAGGTAGGCTGTGAAGTAGAAATTCCAATTTTGAAATTTCCAATCAAAATAAATATTCACACACTTTCTAGTGGAATCAAAAACATTTTGAAATATCAGGCAGAAATAAGCAAGTTTTCCTAGTAACAGAACATAGGAACACAAAGCACTAAAGTAACAGAAATATTTTATTTAGAACTAATCAGAGTAAAATCGTTAAGCCACAATGTATTGATATAGATGATCAACTGCAGTTGAGTGAAAGTGTAAAATTCTTAGGTACCTATATTGATGAATTTTTAGGTTGGACAACACATGTATTCGAACTGCTGAAGAGGCTCAATTCCATTTTCTATGGTTTTAGGATAATATCAAGATATCTAAATAATACGAGTATGAAAATATTGTACCATACTAATTGTGAAAGTGTTCTAAAGTATGGGATTATTTTTTGGGGGCGCAATAGGTTTATTCAAAAAATTTTTGTTGTTCAAAAAAGAGCAGTACGTCTGCTAAAGGGACTAAATATCAATGAAACTTGCAGGGGGGTGTTTAAAACTGAAAAAATCATGACTATGTATGCCATCTATGTGTATGAGTGTCATATTTTTTTCAAAAATAAAAATTTATTTGAGCTTGAGCTGCAAACTGTGTATGATACTCGAACAGTCAATGTTACTTATCCGATACACAGATTATCCTCCACAGAAAAAAAAACAATTTACATGTGTTTAAAATTTTTTAACATATAGTTATGGTGATAGTGACGCAACATTTCATTTTGTAGTGGCTATACAATTTTTGTAATATCATTGTACAACTTGGAATATAGATTATTATTATTATTATTAAGTTCCCAAAAACTATGAGTGGACCAAGTCTGTCACTGCATCCTAGTCCTAGCTCATAAGGTACAATGTTTTGTGGTATCCAAATCAGACGCCGCGCGGTATGCAGGTTAACCTAGCTTATTTACAGTTGTATTTGAAAACCTGTAATTGACACCTTCCTACACCCTATTTCACGAGTATCCATCACGGAACAATGACAGCTAGTTATCTAGTAATATTTCAAAATTCCCCATATCGGCACAGGACACAATTAATTCCGAGGGATCAGTGAGCTCCAGGTAGACAGACCCGTATCTTATTGTGGTTCTTTGTAGGCTACAGGTCCATTTTGTACTTGTTAACAACTCTTTTATTTAAAAGTTTCTTTGCATATGAAAGAAACGCTACAAGCACAATGGCTGCTAATGACTCTGTAAAAATCCAAAGGAAACGCAAACGTAGTTCATAATTTTTTCAAAGAGAGTAAGATATTCAAGTGAGCAAATTTATGCTATGCCATCATTACATATTGAGGAAATTGGAAATTCCAGGAAGTATATTTTATTTTTATTTTGCTGTTATGAGTGGTATGATGCATTTGATGGGTCGTGGCGGTGGATCGTTTTCGTAATTTTGGGTGAATGTATTAGTTTTGATGTGATTAGTTATGTGCTTTTGATGAATTATGTTACACTGATGACGGACAATAAACCAGAGACACGTATTCTATATTATTTTTATAGGTAAATTTACAGCTTCTGGAAAGGACTATGCAACCTATTCTATTGACATACCATGTAATCAATAGATCCCAGATATTTTATAATAATTTTCTGATAAACTTTTCTGAATCGGTACTTGTAAATTTTATTGTCACATTTCTCAACCACTTAAAAATATAATCCTGTTATGTAAACAACAGCTCTGAATACGCTCCCGTAATTCATTGCTGTTAACGTTACAAATTAACAAAGATGTCGCTTTTGTGATCAGCTGTGATGGATACTCGTGAAATAAGGTGGATAGCAATAACGAAGTCATCGATTTGATGTTGGTTTACGGCGAGCGTCTTGAAGGTTCTACTAATACTTCGAGAGTGTATTAAGATCGTTCCGAAATTTCCTTCCCGAGCTGAGTAGGTTTGTTTACATCGTGCAGAGGCAGTAGAAATGGATATGATAGAAGACCTAGATTGCCTCAGTTGTAGGAAGAAGTCAGCAAACTTGCGTTTTTCAATCAAACGGGAATAACTTCAACAGTATTTACGAGCAAAACAAGTGACAGCGTAGTACCTCGAAATTCCTGATCAAACGAATAGAGAATTTCTCTTTTGCGTTTTTAATGCTGTTTTACCGCACATATACATACCTATGTATGCTCTATGTATCATCAAAGTAGATTAAAGAAAAATACTTCATGCAACTTTCTAGGTTCCGAAATTGTTACAGAAGTGCTGGAAAACGACTTTTGACTGCCAAATATCACCTTGGCAGACTAAACTTTCTACAAAATTTGATGGATCCTAACCTTGTTTTTGATGCATATGATAAGGCACTAAACTTGAGGAGCAATAACAAATGTTCATCTCAGGGTTATAACAGATTCACAATAAAATTTATCACATATTACAAAAAATATGCAAAACAACTTACCACATCCGGTGTTTCCTCTAATAATAATGACAGGATGTTCATTTATAGCTTCCATAATTTGGGCCTTCATTGCATGGACAGGCAGTGTAGCTCTCTCCTTGATACTATCCTGTAGACGAGTGTCATTGGCTACCCTCTCTTTCCAATCTCTAAGCATTTCTTCACTCATGTCTTCTAGAGATGCAGTCGCCAAATACCTGGAATCAAATATAAATGACCAATGGAAGTATTGCGATGTGTGATGGAACCAAGCTGAAAGTTACTAAAAAACTACACATATTTTGTATTGTGGATGTGTGCGAAAATTTAATTATGGAACGTTTTACGACGGAGGAACACATGAGAAGTTTGCAAACGTATTAGAAAAATTCATCGGCTTTTCGAATTTACGACGTTCGGACAGTATTTTTACAGTGACTATTACCATAACCATAATTAACATGTTATTTTAACAAGATGGGGCCACCTGCCATAAACTAGAATTTTCATAGGCTGTTTTAGCGAGTGCCGCGTGATTTCACGCAAAGTTGAATTCTGTCTATTTGCAAGATCATGAAATCTGACCGTGCTTGACATTTTTTGTGGGAATTCCACAAGGATAAAGTCTATTCAAGCAATCCACAAACAATGACGTGAAGAAAAATACTACTCAAGTTATTTATGAAAATGAGCCGCAACTGTGCCAACAGGTTACTGAAAGTTTTAGTCAAAGCCTGGTCATCTGTAGACACAGCTGAGCATTCGAACAATAATATTACTAAATCATAATATTCATAGTTCAATGTTGCACTAATATAAACAGGAGAAATACATATTGGAACATCCTTTACGTCACAGCTTCTAAAACCGTTGATGAATTTTACATGATGTAATATTTACAAGTTTCTAGTACTGTCTGCTGAATTTTATGTCGCCCATATCGCTCTCTATTTTCCGCTTCATCAATTGGGAGTGATTGATGTTTTGTATCGTGACGCTAAAATATTTAAGTCGTCCTCAGCTTACCCCTCATCAATGTTGCATCCAGTCCAGCAGTTCCAGTTGGGTTGAGGTGGAGACCAAGTCACCACACCAGCCTCACTGGGTTTCTGGGGATGGAAATCATCCAACACATGGTCGGACAACAGGGACACTGGCTGGTCTGACTTCTCCGGCTTCACAAACGCCGGAGTCACATTCAAATCATTCAGGCAGTCCCTGACTTTCTCTTTCAATTCTGCCGAAACGGCTACTGGGAATGGTGGCATTTCATTTTCGGCTGATTTATTTTTCTTCAGGGTACCTATCAACAGCAGATTCAAGGATTATTTTGTCCCAATATTTTTTAATGGACGAATTACAAATGACACGTGCACAGTATAATAATGAACGTTTTTTCTGACATGTACCAGGCACTCTAGGATGTACGCACAAGGTAGTGTTAATACACCCAGAGAAGTAACTGTTCCATACAATCATTCCATCTGTCAGAATTTACCGTGGAACGCGTTATGTATACGTGAAAATCCAGACACTGACAGAACCATCAGTAAATCCTGATGATAGCATGTTAGTTTAGCGCCAAAGCTGATGTTCGGCTTTCAATACAACCTTGAGCCAAAACTAAAGGGGAAAATTTACTTAATCTTATACAATGATCCCACTTCTGATGACTAGATTTAATGTGTTGGATCAAAGCTTGTTAGAATTAGATAAAACGTGAACATAATTTGATGAGTATGAATAAGTTGTATTATTTTCAGATTAAAATATAAAACTGTTTATATTCATTATACTTTTATGAAAAGCCAATTCAAAGTATATTGGAGAAAGTAAGAAATATTTCAGAATTCTGATGATTTTCGCTAATACACCGAGAATTCCTAAATGGTATACTTGTAGCAGTATCAGTGATATCTCCAATGGCAGTGCTTACAGAATTGAAGTACAAATTAAAATTAGCTACAGATAATTATATAAGATTTAACAAATGGACAAAACTGATTTAATATTTAGAACAAAGTAATCACATATCATACACCACAAACTCTCACACTTTTGATAGTAATATCCAAGTCAGCAAACTGAGGTGTTAGGAATATGTACATTTAGATGAATTTCCGTCTTGGACTCCACATGTAAATAAAACTGCTTTGAAACTGAGCAGCATCAGCTATAAAATAAGAGTGTTCACTAGATATATAAGTTCAGAATGTTTAAAAATTCTGTATTGTGCAAATTTTTAATCGATTTTACATTATGAAATTATACTATGGGGTTGTCCAACGGACGCAGGAAAGTAAATGCATATTAAAACAAGAAAGATTGATATTCAAATCAAGTTGGGTACTTTATTTTGAAGGTTCATTTATACCATTTATGTATGAAAAATAATATCGCTCAAATGTTCACCACGACTGGATTTACAGACGTCCACGCGATGGTCGAAATTTTCAATGACATTTTGCAACATGGTCGGTTCTATGGCATTTATCTCGGCAATAATGTTGTTTTTGAGTTCTTGGAGGGTGGCTGGTTTGATGACGTAGACTTTGCTTTTCAAATATCCCCATAAAAAGAAGTCTAAGGGAGTCAAATCGCACGATCTTGGTGGCCATGGCACATTTCCTCTGCGCGAAATCACGCGATCACCGAAGAAGGACTGCAATCGATGGATATTGACGTTGGTTGTGTGGCATGTTGCACCGTCTTGTTGGAAATAAACATCGTCCATATCCATTCCTTCAAGTTGCGGCAAAAAATAGTCCTCTATCATCACGTGATATCGCTCAGAATTGACGGTAACGGCGTCCCTGGCCGCATTTTCGAAAAAGTAAGGTCCGATGATGCCTTTTGACCACAATGCACACCACACAGTCACTTTTTGAGGATGCATCGGCTGCTCTTGATACTCACGGGGATTTTCGTTCGCCCAGATGCGGCAGTTTTGCTTGATTACCGTCCCATTCAAAGTGAAATGCGCTTCGTCGCTGAACATGATTTTTGATGAAAAATTGGCATCAATTTGGCGGTGTTCAAGGAGGCAATCTGAGAACGTTCGGCGCGAAAAATGGTCGTCGGCCCGACGCAGCTCTTGCGTCAATTGGATCTTGTAGGCGTGTACATTCAAATCTTTGTGGAGAATGCGGAGCAAACTGGTTGTCGAAATGCCCAATTCTTGGGATCGACACGTTGTTGATTGTTTCGGATCGTCTCTCACACTCTCCTTCACAACAGCAATATTTTCCGGTGTGCGAACGCTCCTTGGCCGGCCAGAGCCTGGCAGATTTGCCACAGAACCTGTTGCCTTGAATTTACGCACCAGACGACCGATGGTTGTTTCGTTTGGGCGGTTGTTGCGATCGAAATGTTCACGAAGCGCGCGAAACGTGTTTTTTATTTTTGCACCATTTTTGTAGTGCTCTTGAATAACTTTAATGCGGTCTCCAATCGAATACGACTCCATAGCGATCAATGGTAAACATTCAACTAACAAAATGACATGTCGGTGACAGAAAGATGGCGTCTATGTCAAATTGACGTTTACTTTCCTGCGTCCCTATTGGACAACCCTTTATATGGAGGCAGCTCAGAACTGCATAATTTATTTTATATTTTTATATTAATTATTCACAGTGAAAAACAGAAACAATTTTCACTCGCAAAATGATCACACATACGGAACAAAAACTCTGATGCTCTGAATGTTTTGCTACCTCAGCATAAGTTGACAGCAACTGAAAAAAACTATTTTTATATGTGCGTAAAGTTGTACAATGAACTACCTAATCATTTAAAAGCGATGGAGGGTTCAGGAGCTTTTAAATAACTGAAATGGGGAATCCCTACTGAGCGGGGCCGTGGCAAATGTTTGTTCCGGAAGTTGTTGTATCCAGTATACAACTTCTTCCCGTTCAAGTGATTGTACACGCGTTAAGGAATACCTCAGTTCAGATTGCCGGATGGCGGTTCAAGTCCGCCAACCGGTCACTTTAGGTCTATTTAATATTATTAAGAAGCAAAAAGAAGGTGGTAGACAAGGACCAGTCGACCGAGGCGGTACCACCCGCTAGCTTTTCCTAGAGTGTCTTATAAATGTCCTCATGTTTCCACACCTAAGCTATGCAGTCGGTTATCTTCCAAAACAAAGAAATTTATGATGATGGATACCTCGAGTACTAAGAATTCCGGACGTAAACTCACTCGACTCTCAGAATGTCCGGGTGGAGGGTGGACTCGAGGGAACAACATCGAAGATAAAATTTGTTTCACGAACATTTGCGGTATTAACAGCAACATTGATGCTGTTCATCACTACTTGCAATCCAATCGTTCAGCCATGCTTTTCTTGGCGGAGACAAAAATCTCAGAGTCTGCACCGATTAACCATCTTAGCTTCCCAAATTACGAGGTGCACTCCAATCTGAGAAAGTACGGGGAGTTGTGGTCTTTGTCCGCAGCAGTATTTCCTGTCCCAGAGATGTTTCTCTGGAATCTGACCGGAAGGACATTCTGTGGCTTCGCCTCAACTCCAAAACATCCCCCAAATTTATTTGCTGCCTTTATCGCTCTCCCTCGGACCATAACTGGGATGACCTACCTGAATACCTCGCCGTCAAGATCGACTTCCTAAACATCAATCACCCCGCTTCAGAGGTAGTTTTCCTCGGTGATTTCAATGCCCAAGCTCATAAGCTTTGGTTGGGCTCAAACAAGACCGATGCAGCAGGTCGTGCAGTTGAAGCGTTCGCTCTTACTCAAGGGTTGACCCCAACTGGTGACGAACCCTACTTTTTCCCCCGCTTCTCGTCACATGCCAGTAGCCTGCTGGATATCTTTCTGACTACGCATCCTATCCCTTACAGCACTGCTGTCCTGTCTCCCCTAGGTCACTCGGACCACGGTGTTGAGGTTAGATTTCGGTCAGGACCCGCTGTGGCAGCAGAAAGTCGCACAGGCCGCAAAATTTGGCATTACGGACATGCCGACTGGGAGGGGCTCTGAGACTTCTTCTCTACCTTTCCTTGGAGAGATGTCTGTTTCACTGACGTGGATGCGTCGGCTGTCTGTTCTTCGATAACCGAAATTATTCACGTCGGAAAGGAGGAATACATCCCACATACAGTGAAAGTGCCTAAACCAGGGTCCAACGGCTGATTTAACAAATCATGTGACACTGCTCGCCAGCAGAAGATCAAGGCACACATAACCTACTTAAAAATCCCCACTGTAGAGAACAGACAAGCCAACGTCGAGTCCTGAAACAAATATAAAAAAGCGGCTCGTAATGCCAAAAACCAGCACGATATAAAAGTTATGCACAGGGTAATGTACCAGCGCAATGGCAGTCAGTCTTTCTGGACGCTGGCCAAGCAGATTGAAAAGAACTTCTCTCATAGTAGCCTTCCACCACTTACGTGTCAGGATGGAACGATTGTATCTGACTCAAAGGCCAATGCGGAAGCGCTTGCCAAAATCTTTGCTGCCAACTTCGCCATGGACCCCCCCCCCAACGCCCAAGTACCGTCAATTCAAAGGCTTCCCTACACTATGCGGGACGTAACGTTCAGGCGTAAGGCCGTAAGACGAGTGCTCTTGTCGCTCGACATCAACAAAGCTTCCGGACTTGATTCCTGCCACTGTACTGAAGAGGTGTGCAGCGGAGCTTGCTCCAGTTCTTTCGCGTCTCTTCCGGATATGAATCCGGCACCTTTCCAGGAAACTGGAAATTTGATCGTGTCCAACCCATCCCAAAAAAGGGATCTAAGACCGACCCTTACAACTGCAGGCCTATAGCTCTGCTTTCTGTTATAAGTAAGGTGATGGAGAGGTGCATAAATCGCGGGCTTCTGGACTACCTCGAACGTCACAACTTGATTAGCGACAGGCAGTATGGTTTCCGGCACCAGCGATCCACAGGGGACCTCCTAGCTTACGTCACGCAATTGTGGAGTAAATTCATCCAGTCTTATGGTGAGGCTCATGTCGTTGCTCTTGATATCACGAAAGCGTTCGATCAGCTGTGACACGCTGCCCTGTTAAGCAAACTTTCTACCTATGGCCTCCAAGAAAAGCTTTACAGATGGGTGGCTGACTTTATCTCTGGCCGCAAGATATCCGTTGTAATTGACGGGTTCTCCTCTTCATCCCACGATAACGCGGGTGTTTCCCAGGGATCGGTCTTGGCTCCGACACTGTTCCTCTTACACATCAACGATCTCCTTTGCTGCACGACCGACCCAATCTACAGCTTCGCTGATGACAGCACTCTACATACAGGAATTCAGAGTGACAAGCCGATCTCTGCCGCTGAGCTGGAAAAAAGAAAACTAGCGACGACTTCCTCTCTGACGAGAGATCTGGAGGTTATTACTGCTTGGGGACGCAACAATCTTTTTCAGTTTAATACTTCCAAAACAGAGTACTGTACTTTGACGAACAAAAAGTTAGTGCTCATCCAGGCCGAGTTCTGCCAAAGAGCCATTCATTTCGGCTGGTCGGAGTCCAGATTACATTTCGTCAATAGCGGCAGCTGCTGGGAAAAAGCTAGGCTATTTGACCTTCTCACTCTATACAAGGCCCAGATAAGGCCTAGCTTCGAATATTCCTCACACGTGTGGGGTGCTGCCGCCCCGACTACATTATTTATGCTCGATGCTGTCCAGAGCAGGGCTGTCCGACTGATCGATGACTCTTCTCTAACAGACAGGCTCGGAACCCTTTCGCACGATACGACCGCTCCTTTGTCCCGAGGGTGTCGAGATTGTGGAAGAATCTACAAGAGGAAGCTTTTCCCAGTTCTACTAACTTAAGGCAGTTCAAAAATCGGATTAACAAAATTTCTTCTTCTGTGAGGCTGCTTCGGTATAAAAAAAAGTTCAGCTGGAACGATACAATATTTCTGAATATATGAAAGCTTCATTTTAGCTTTTGCATAGGTATGGCGATAGTTCCATTTGTACGCATTATATATTTGTGATTCTAGAGTTTTAATAAATATTATTATTATCTATGAACTATAAATAGGTTTATAATTTTGGATAATCAACTTGTATTTGTTTTGTTTTTATCAGGAATGCATTTCGAATATTGCCAACTGCTAGTTTTTAAAACAAATTAACTATGTACATTATTTTACTTTTTGACAGTGCAATAAGTTGCAGTCAACTTCAAAGCATAATTATGATGCGTATGTTTGACAAAAAAAAACAGTAGGTAGACATATAATTTTGAAACTAGTTATGAAACCACACCACACAATGAACAGGCATTCCTTTCGTGCAGCATTAAATATATGACAATATTTACATTCGTACTACTACCGGGCTAACAGATACTTCTAAGTATCTAATTGTTGCCAGCAAAGAGGTAAGGGCTAAGAACCACTAGTCATATACCACTTAACATCTCTTGAAACGTGTTTTAACTGTTCCTAATCTCAATTACTATGACCATGCATTTTCACTCTTCCGGCAAAATATGCGGCCTTTTGTGCGCCTTACGATAAATAAATCAGGTCTTACGTTGTTTAGTACATGGTAGAAATTGTCACCCCATATGTTGGTGAATGACATACTCCAGGTGAGTTGGATGGCGATCACAAAAACTATGGTGACAAGGCTAACAAACATCCTGTTTTAACTTTCACGGTAATATATCGCGGCAAAACGCAACAAACACTAACAGCAGATTATCTAGTGTCAGTTCTAAACTCCCTATATCAAGTGACAACTCTGACAGATGTATAGAGTCGTATTAATAGGGGAGGACGTATTTTGTTGTGGCTTTTTGTATCAATTAATATTTCGAACAACGCTTTTCTATGATTTTTTGCATTTCTCTATGTGTACTACATATATGCTAATATCCAAATTCACAGTTGGTGAAAGTACGTAGTTGAAAACAAATATTCATTGATGTTGGGTATGAATAGTTTTAAATATAGTTCTGAGTTTCACTAGATTTATTATTGGCAACAGACTTAACATGGAGATCAGCTGACTACCTTATTAGACATAAAATGTAATGTATGATTAAAAATAGATTAAGACAGATGTGTGACAAAGTGAACTGATCCACTATGTTCCTATCTTTAGAGAACATATTTTTATGATGATTTAAATACTTTACCTGAAAAGGCTTCAATGACTCCAAGATGGTACAGCTGTCTAACAATAGACAATGCACAACTCTTGCTAGCTGTTTGTTTATTGGACCCTGTATCCCTTCCATGAATGGTTCTTCCCAACTGTTTCACATAAAAGCTCATTTCAGCAACAAAGCTCCTAGAATTATGTACATATGTGAATAAGCAATTACAATGTTATCTGTGTAATATACTCACCTCTGCTACTCAAATTAATAACATGATGTTTTTATGCCAAGGACCTGTACAAAAACATAAACCAAGAGCAATTAATAATGGCACATTGTCATATTCACCCTGTTTATCTTTTATGAGGAAATATATTCAAAGTTCAGACCATAAAACTTTAATCTGAAGTTGTCATTGCAAATAAGAAAAACAATAATGTAAATGAGCGTTAAAAAGGCTAAAATTTATAATGGATCTCTAAGAATTGACATGTTTCCCAAACTGTATTTTAAGAATGTAACATCTGTCCTACTGCCTCAGTCTTACATGAATTAAAGTTAAAGAGTTGAAAATATTATAATTTTAGCTAATCTAATTCATTCCCTATATATAGTGCTTTTCATGAAGCCCCTCCTACTTATTTTTGGAATGAGTCAAGTTAGCAAGCTGAAATTTGGGGTGATGAAAATGATGCATGATCTCTATATTTTAAGATAAAACTGTTGAATTATTAAAATGGTGGCTAGATCATGATGTAACTCATTTTGAAACTTCTTTTGGAAGCGGTTAACTGAATGTGCAATAAAATACGGGATATTCAGTTTGAGAGAAATGGCATATTTTGACAACTGTCTTAAATGGAATGTTCCATATTTTATTGCATTTTCGAATCGATCCTACCAAGGGAAGAAGTTTGTTATACTGTAACATATCGATGATTGGCTGTTAACTTATTAGCAAGTCAATGTAAAAAAACGGTAAAATGTGCCATCCTGCAAGTCAGCCATTTTGAAAGTGAGCGATTTTAAATTATAGTATTGTAAAGTACTCAAAGAAGCTTCAAAACGAGGTATCAGATGACCTCCACTCCGTTTATAAAAATGGAGTCCAGCCGATGTCTTGAAATGATCAAATTCCACGTTTACGCTGAAATATAGTATTTATGGATCAGTTTCACCACCCGAAATTTCAGCTTGCTAACTCTATCGTTCAAAGAATATAGTGCACTGTATATGTATTTATGAACTACACTAAAAGCTAAACATGTGGTGGGACATCTAGTGTTTGTAATTCGAATTAGCGGTTATGTTGCAATCGAATGCTAAGAAGTCGTTTTGATGTGTTAGAAAATCAGTTCTATATTTGACATTTTCAAGATGGGACAAAATACACTTGAATGAAATTGGAAAATATTAAAAACTCACTTCCAAAGTGGTGAGGCTTTAACACAACTATAAACAAGTTACGTGGAAAAGTTGATATACAAAACACCAATAATTTAGTTTGTGGGCCAGTTCACGAAGCGAGTTGGTCAGACTCGACAATTATAGGATAAAGCAACCGGTGTGCATTCAGCCGAAAAAATCGCTGCTGTTGCCCAGAACGGTCATGAAAATCCACCAACATCGCCTCGACATGGTTCTCAGGGAGTGAACATTTTTTTTGCATTATGAGAGCTTACAACGACTGAAGCCCCATCACCATCCGATGCGTTTCGGGATCGCCCAGTGAGCTGAATCGCTCGAAAAAAGTATATTCAGATGAAGCTCATTTTCATATCAGAGGCTACAGGGTTTGTCCGGAAAGTAATAGGACTTATTTTCCTCCGCCATGACTGGATTCGGTAGAGGGCGTTCCTAGCTAACGAATGAGCGGCTGGTCAGTTGTCTCCGAGCACTTGGAGAGTCAGGACAGGCATTTTCGCGCGACGTGTTTCTATGAGTGGTTCAAGCCGAAAATGCAGCGTTCGTTAGAGCAGAGGTACGCGATTAAATTCTGTGTGAAACTCGGTAAATCTGCGACAGAGACGTTTGATATGATCACGCAAGCTTTCCCAGGTGTTGCTTCAGCAACAAGAGGTGTGTTTCGGTGGCACCAGGCTTTTTTGGAGGTCCGGCAAGAGGTCGCTGATGAAGACCGTGCTGGAAGACCTTCGACTTCGACAAACACCGATAATGTGACTCGTGTGCGCAAAGTTTTGAACTCAGACCGTCGACTAAGTATTCGTTTAATTGCCCAGATGTTCAATTTACCAAAATCTGTGGTTCATGACATTGTGACACAGCATTTGAACATGCGCAAGGTGTGCGCGAAGATGGTCCCAAAAGTGCTCACTGACGACCAGAAATTGCAGCGAGTGGAAGTGTGCCAAGAAAATTTGAACATGTGTGAAAGTGACCCCCAATTTTTGAATAACGTAATCACAGGTGACGAGTCGTGGATCTTTGAGTATGATCCCGAGACAAAGGGGCAATCTTCCGAGTGCTACACGACGGATCCTCCTCGCCCAAAAAAGGGAAGAATGGGCAAATCCAAAGTGAAAACGATGCTCATTGTCTTTTTTGACATCAAAGGCATCGTCCACCATGAATTTGTTCCTCCTGGACAAACCGTCAACGCCTAGTTTTACGTGAAAGTGCTCAGGAGACTAAACGAAGGGTTAGTCGGGTCCGACAAGACATCGCAGCCGACTGGAAGTTGCACCACGACAACGCCCCGGCTCACACCGTCTTTCTTGTGAACAGCTACCTGATCAAGACCGGCATCCCAACGCTTCCGCAGCCGCCCTACAGCCCAGATGTGGCCCCCCGGACTTTTTTTTATTTCCTCGCCTGAAAAGGCCAATGAAAGGCAAGTCTTTTCAGACGATAGAGGGGATCCAAGCAGCATGCACCGCGGCTCTCAAGGCTATTCCGGAGAATGCCTTCCGTGACCGATAAAATAGGCCAATACTGATAATAGGCTGACACCAATATATCAGGGACTGATAGATCGCCGTTATCAGCTTCTACTCATACAAAATAATGTATCATTCAGGTGATTAAAAACACACAACATAATTTTGTCTGAGCAGGCTTATTGTTCAGAAAATAAATTTTTTTTTTTAACTAGCCTCAGATCTGTAAACTGGCAAAAATTACTTCAAATTCCTCAGAATGACGTAAACAAACAATGGAATTATTTTAGTAGTATATTTCAATCTATTTTTGATCAATCGTTTCCCATGAAACCAGTAAAAGTGACAAAAAGGCTCCCTAACCCAAATCATGCTCAGGAAACGGATAATAATATTAAGGAATGTAGGGACCGACTGGTTGTTCTATATGTTATAAGCAACAGTGACAATTCCTATAAACCATGCTATAACAAAGTCAGAACATAGTACAATATATTGTTAACTAACGCCCAATATAAGTCATATCAAAGACGTATACAAGAGTCAGATAATAAATCAAAATGTGTGTGGAGTATAGTAAAGGAAATAAAAGGTCAAAATAGAGATGACTGTGTTATTCCAGGTGATCCTGAAGTTATAGCAAATGCTTTCAATGAATACTGTATTAATGAAGTAATTAAAATATTACCACAGGCACCAATACATAACTCTTCTGACTTTTTAGACCATGTGCAAGAGTGTATGCCACTAGAATATGTTACTGCTCTAAAACTAGCAGAACTGGGCAAAAAACTTAAAAATAAAATGAGTAGTGGTGATGATGGCATTCCAGCTAGTATTTTAAATTATTCCTTAGTAGTAATTCTGGAACCTTTGGTTCACATAATACACAACTCACTTAAGTACAGTATTTTTCCTGAAAAACTTAAATTAGCTATAATTATACCTATATATAAAAAAGGAGATCCTACTGACTTGCTAAATTATAGGCCAATCAGCTTACTTTCTTGTTTTGCAAAGCTTTTTGAGTTAGTGATGTATTCAAGAATTATGAATCATATGATATGTAACAACTTAATTGCAGAGTCACAACATGGGTTTGTAAAAGGGAAATCCATCAACACGGCGATCTATTCTTTCAGCCACAACATCATAGAATGCCTTGAAAATAATATGATATCGCTGGGTCTGTTTTTTGATCTCTCCAAAGCTTATGATTGTGTGGATCATTCTCTACTATTGAATAAACTCGAGGCATATGGGATAAGGGGAAGTGCTTGCAACTGGATTGTCTTATCTGACAGATCGTAAGCAAAGAGTTTTCACTACAAAGAATGAAATATCAGCCATTTCATCACAGTTAATGGTAGAAAGAGGTGTTCCACAAGGTAGCATCTTAGAACCTCTCCTTTTTTTGATTTTTGTGAACGATCTGTGTGCTAGTATTACAAGCCCACATAATGTATGCACGATCCAATATGCTGATGACACTAGTGTACTAGTCGCTGGCCAAGATTTCAACCATTTAGCTGATAGTACTTTGAGCCTCTGCGAGAAAGCGTTTTTGTGGTTTGCTCGTAATGGATTATCTCTGAATACCTCAAAAACAAATGCGATTGTTTTTGAGTTAAGAAAAAAATCGAAGCTACAAACATCACCTTAGCAGAAAGAATAGAAGTCCCTCTGACAGACTGGAAAATTCTTGCGAGTTCATATTGACCAAGCACTTTCCTGGGCTAAACATATAGAACATCTAGAAATAAGGTTAAACAATGCATGTTATAGTATTAAAGTACTAAGCAGGTACCTAGACCTCCAGACTCTAAAAATGGTATATTACGCGAATTTTAAGTCCATTGTACGTTTTAGAATAATTTTTTTCGGACATAGTAGCCATACCAATAGGATCTTTCTAGTGCAAAAGCGAGTGCTGAGGTGCATCCTAAAAATTTCCTCTAGAGAGACTTGCATAGGAAAATTTAAGAGTAATAAAATTTTAACTGTAGCCGCAATATATATTCAAGAGATTCTAATTTTTACATAATATAAAAATATTGACAATTTTATTGGTAACCTACAAAGTGACTATCACACAAGAAATAGAAATATAAATCTTCTGTATCCAATCCATCATCTCGCGGTTACCGAAAAAAAATATCCATTACAGCTGCACTAAAATATATAATAAGTTACCACAAGAAATTAAAAGGTTGGCAGATATAAAAGAATATAAAAAGAGTATTTATCAATTGTTAATGCACTTAGAACCATATGACCTTCAAGAATGTTTTGAAATGTAATATCTCTATTATGTTATATTTTTTGCCTCTGTTTTTTTTTTGTCTAGATGACACTGTGAGGTATATTTCACCTAACAGTGTGTAATACATTGAAATAAAGATTTATTATTATTATTGAAGTGTTTGGTACAACTACACATAAAGGACTTACTGGTAACTGCACAGGTAACTGTTTACTTGATAAGTATGCTTGTGCAAATTTTTTGCATGTCAGCAAAACCACACTTGATCAGTAATCACAGAGTGATTAACACAAACATGATACCGCTGGCTGCTTTCATTTTAGTTCTCAGAAAAGGAAGCATAAAACATGATGCTACATCTTATATTCACACCTTCATATATAAACATTTCATCTTTTTTGGTTGGATTCGGTTTAATGCTGTATGAAAATGTTAAAGATAGAAAAGTCTAGTGCTGTCTGAGCATATTTGACTACAGCTACTGATCAAGTGATTGATGAAATTCATAGTGCAATTTACTCCTAGTTGTCGCTCCTGGATTATTAAAAACTACAAAGCTTATCCATCCTTGACATAGTAGTAACTTTGTGTAAAAATTTCATCGCAATCTGAGTGATACTTCCCTACTTATAGCTTGGCCAAAGATTACCGAACAGACCAACAATCAGATGGATATTGTAACATTGTTTCTCTTGATGTACATTATAGCTCATTTCTCAAAATGTTTTGTAATTAAGAATATTTTTACCTCATGGTGTAAAAAGTAAAAACATTGTAAAGGTGTAAATGTAAAGAGAAAAACAGCTAACCCATGAAATAACATAGAACATCTTTCTAGCTACAGTCACACAGATGAGTATAACAAAATGCAATCCATAAAAGATTCAGGCAAGATTGAAAATGGCAGTTATGTCTCACTTTGTTACACATGTTACAAACATTTGTTTAACTTCAACTTCAAAGGTTTCAGACTCTGTAATTTATATCAGTCTAGCTATATCAGCACATACAACAGCTAATTCATATAACTGCAAATTGGGCCAATATTGCGGATGTTTGTCAATTCCTAATCATGATATTCATCATCTAATTATACCTGAGGTCTGTACAATGAATTAGACTGTTAGTAGGAAAAACTATAACTCAACTTCCTTATTTATTAGCAGGTGGAATTAATCAAATTACAAATAAACATGTAATTTGAGCAATTCGAATATCTGCTTCAGCACACTATGTAGGTTTACTGCTCTTGGTAAAGTTTTTGTATTAGCCCTGGCATAAAGCGTATGTTTCTTCAAATTGCAAAAAATTCACAAATCCAATTATAGTACTAATGGAAATGCATCTTTTTTGCAAGTTGGACATTAAACTTGAGTAACAGAATGTTCTCAATAGAAATGAGAACTTAATTATAAGCTACAGAATATTCTTTATATCTGCCTTCATTTGGTATTTAGCAATTATTTTACACAAATACTATTTGATATACTACATCAGCTAGAGCTGCTAAATATCCACTCATTTAAAAATAGATATATGGAGAATGAGTTTGTATACAAAATTAAATAAAACATTGTTCTGGCATTTAAAATGTTTTCTAATAAATCACTGAAAACACTGCTTGACTCTCATTGTAACAGCTATGTATAAGGCATTGAAAAGTTGAATATCATTAATACGCAATATATTT